TTCTTCCGAGTCATCCTATACTTCTAAATCATCATCGCTGTTTTACAGAATTCATGATTATGTAATAACCTAGTGTTAACCCCCCCTACGAATCAACTTATCTTGAATCCCGTGACTAATTAACTTTCACCCCTCCCTCCTTTAAAACTTACATATCTTGTTTCTAACATCTATTAGTTCATTGGTGTTTTGATGACTTTTAATGTTTCAATCTACCCCCTGCCTCGTCGCTATGCCTAGAAGTGATGGAGTAAAATAACCACTTGATTGGTAAAAATTTCGATTTAACGGAAAACGATATATTAGTGTAGAGCCAGTGGATGATGAGGAATTAATTGAAGTGAAGGAATGCATATTTCCTCGCTCAATCTAACTTTTTTCTAAATGCATAAATGGGTATTCAGAAGTGACTGAAATGCTTTTCTCACGTGAACTGTGATCAAGATTTGACAGAGTAGTTCCGAAATAACTGGGAGCTGAGTGAAACTGAAATTCTTCAGGGAAATTCGGACCAGTTTGCTGAACGAAACGTTGGAATTACTCATTTCAATTTCGCTGAGAGTTTACAAATATAATTTTTACATAAGTCAAATGCTGTTTTTGTTAGTTAGATTTAAACTGGTTAAAGGGAATTAATAATAATAATAATAAATCCCATCATTTTAATCTCTTTCTTTTCCTCTTCACTTCACACTATTCTAGCTTTTAAATTCATGTAATTCTGAATATACACTACTAGTAAACAGATTTAGGTAAGTTATCACTCACTCCTCTTGTGGTTACGCAATCGTTTGTTATGTATTTCAATTGTTGCGATCACTTGTATTGATCGATTCTTTTGCTACAAAATGTCTGATTTTATTCAATGTTAATAAGACTAAGGGAAGGTAGTACATGAACACCTTGAAAATTCAACGAAGAGAAGGATAATGCCGGTGAATGTTAGTTCTACAGAACAGAATTTTGATGTGCCCAGAATTTAGTGGCTTAAAGCCGACCGTTTAATAAGGAAAAAACTACACAGTTTTCCGTTTAGAGAAGAAATATTTCTTCACAAGGAAATCATTATCCAGCAATACAGTCGTTTTTATATCACGGAAAAAGTAATGGAGAAGACTTGTAGCTCAGATGGATGGTTTTGATTTAGTCGTCATGTTCTCCGTCTGAGCTGGCTGATTTATTTGCGAATCTTTCGTTGTCCTTCTAGACAACATCTTCAAAGCAGATTTTAGGATGAAATGAACTTAACTGAATTATCCATGAGGGATATAACTGTATCTATTGTCGTGATTGGTTGCCAATTTACGCTAATCACCAAGGGAAACACTGGGCTGAACACATCAAAAGACTTTTGAATCGACCACCACCTACAACACGACCAATAATACTCAACAGCGGAAGCATAACTAACAGTGGACATCAACCCTCTGAGGAAGATAAAAATCGTGAAACCAATAAAGATGCTAAAAACTGGAAAAGCAGCTAGACTGGACGGAATCCCTACAGAAGAGTTGAAAATGGACCCAGAGACATCGGCGGACTTGATGACACCACTACTGCAGAAGGTGTGGAAAGAGGGCAAGGTACCTGCGAAATGGAGGAAAGACTACTTATTCAAACTTCCAAAGAGAGAAGACTTAAGTCAATGCAAGAATTGACGCGGCATTATGCTCCTGTTCATTCCAAGCAAAGTACTAAGGCGCATCAAACACGCCCTGGATGAAAAACTTCCACTGGAACAGGCTGAATTCAGGAGAAACAAGTCGTGCATTGATAAAATCACAGCACTACAAATCATCATTGAAAAGAGCTTGGAATGGCAGTCACTTCTCTATCTCAACTTTATCAACTTTGAAAAGGCACTCCACAGCGTCGATCGAGAGGTGCTTTGACAACTACTTCGCTACTACGGGGTGCCACCGACAATTATACATCTCATCCAAACAGTTGTACGACAATGCTGCATGCCAAGTAATCCACAATGGGAAAATCACGGAATCCTTCGAAGAAGTGAAGACGGAAGTAAGAGAAGGCTGGCTGGCTGCCTACTATCTACAATGATTTTCGTGATTGCAGGAGGTACACTGGATAATTCGACAAGTAGTGGGCAACGAGAAAATAGGCAAAAACTTGTCCCACACAAAATGATTGGAGGATCTGGTTTTCTCTGACGATATTTGTCTGATTTCCCACAAACTGGAAGATATGCAAGTGAAAAGTAACCAGTTGGCAGAAGAAGTATCCAGAGAAGATAGGACTTCAGGGAACATTGAGAAAGTGGAGACGGAGGTGATGACGTTTCCTGGCCAATATCAACATCAACAACAACAGACAACAATCAGCATAAATAGGAAAAATCTGTAAGAAGCAATCTCCTTCACCTACCCACCTACCTGGGAAGCATTATTTCAACCACAGGCAGACGAAACTGATGAGGATATCAAAGCGGCGAGGATGAGGAAAGTAAGGCAAGCTTTCATTACTCTCAAGTCTGTGTGGAGATCAACAGCACTCAGCAATGTAAAATAAGATCCGGATTTTCAACTCCAATATCAAGTCAGTCAGTGCTAGTTACTAAGCGGATCAGAGAATTGGCGCCGCGTTACGAAGTCCATTTCGAACAAACTACACACCTTCATCAACACCTAACTTTCTTCGCTCAATACTCAAGATCAGATGGCTGGCCAAAAAAGATCAACAACAGACAGGGATCTCTGGCAACGAACCAACCAGGAACCAATTGTTCAACAAATATGCAGGAAGAAATGGAGGTGGATTGGCTGGCCATACTCTGAGGAAACCATCAAGTGAACATCACACGCCAAGCCATTGGTCGAGTGGGAACCGAAAAGGAAGCGGCGAGTTGGTCGTCAGCGTGTGGGTGACATGGAGGAGGTCATGTGAAGAGGAGATGAAAGCATGTGGACAGACTTGGAGGCAGGTGAAAAGGTTGGCGGAGAACCGAACGCAATGGAGACGTATGTCTGAAGCCCTATGTTCCTCTAGGAACGAAAGGAAATAATAATAATAATAATGTTTCAAACGACAGTAATAATTATACAAAATGGAATTTTCAGCATTTTTATATGTATTGCAACAATTTAGCTCCTTTTATAAATATGTACAAACATAAAATTAATAGTAATTATAATATTAATAATGATACCATCACTAGAAACAGAATGTTGCTGTAAGCGTAACGAATTATAAATAAATAACGTCATAGACAATACATGTAATAATAATACTTTGATTATGCTTTGCATTTCAGTTACCGATTCAAAACGTTTATGAGTTCTTTTCTGATATCTGACTCTTCACACAAAACTCTTCTTAAATCCGTTATTTAAACAACAGTCACCGGTGATTCCAGGTGGAGCATAGAGTTTGAAGTTTAGTAATGATGAGGTGTTGTTTTTATAGGGTGAGTGTGTTTGACTTACTTTCAGCCTCCCTTCTTTATTGAGTTTACGACCGGCTAAGCGATGTGTAAGTGTAACGATAGAAGACAACGGTCAGGAAACAGATCGTTTATTGAGAAAATCAACAGATATCTATAGATTTTTATGTACATTGTTATTAGCGTTATTGTTAGCAGAGAAGCAACGTCTTCTGATTGGTTGTTTTCTTGCTCAAGGTTATTCTGTCATCTCTTTGTGTCCGTTTCTTAGAAAGTTAAGCCATAAAACTGCGAATCGTATTTTTTGCACACGTTGTCTGCTTTGATTGGTCGTTGAGTTCCTCAATGTTAAACTTTGTTCTTGTTTTTTCTCATGACCCCGATTCAGGACGTGAACAATGACGTAAATTGTTGTCTACAATTTTGGCTTGTAGACAGCTCTCACCACATTAGGAGTATGTCATCTGGGAATCAAACCGGAAGTGACTGGCAGTTTGGTTGATTACCCTTCTACCAGTGAACCTAATCTTCTGTTAAAAAATGTCTCCATAAATAGACATCTTGTCAGTTGACTGGCATGACACACTGCTTGACACCTGCTTTTTACCATCTGGTGTCCGTCAGTGAAGAACTACAGGAAGCTCTGGTTCACTTTTGGATATTTAAATCTTTTCAGCACGTTGTGTTCTGACGTCTATAATTTCAGGTCATCAATGACCCCATCTTTAGGAAATCTATTCCATTTTCGACATACACTTTTATATTATTCCTTATGGCAATACTGAGTGTCGCCTTAAGAAAATGTTGATTTCGGCTAACAGGATGTTTCATGTTTGAAGTAAATGTGTGTAACACCCTTCAAAATCCCCTGAAAGCCACTGATGATAAGTAATTAAGGATTACAGGATTTCATCATGAGCTGACATTGGTTAGAGAACCATTGGAAGACAAGCTGGAAGTACTGGACAGCTGTTTCGTCCGCCTAGTTTGGGACTCTTCAATAGTACGCACCCACCGGGATTCGAACAAAGGACCTCCTGGTTACAAGGCAAGCTAGCTCGTATACCATTCAGCCACTGGAACCTGATCCAATGACCAGTCCATGAATTCCAACTTCTGCCAATTCACGACGTAACGCGACTACTAGCCAATGTCTTCACTGGCAAGTATTTGTCCTCATATCCAACCTGCTGTACCCTACTGGTCACGACTTCTCACTTGAACCACAGGTAGTTACCTGCCTGAATAGGGCAATTCTCTAGTGAGCATCTCATCGATATTCAAGTGTTGGTTTGTAGTGATTCGATTATTCGCAGAAATCCAACGGCTTTTTAGCTACTCATACGCTTAGTTACTCTTTGACAAAGTATTTATGTAGCCCATGGAATGAGAAGTCATGCTTCCTCCAGATATGAATCTTTACTTCCCGGTGGTTCATTCAGTTAGATAGACCATACTACACAGAAACATGCAATGCATTTATAAGAAACCACTGTAATTCATCTGTCAGCTCACAAATTCTTCAGAGAAGTATTATACTACTACTTTTTAAAAAGTAGTTAAAAGGAATGTTATAATTTTTTCAATTTTTCTGCTAAAGTTTTCATTCTGGAATATGTTCTCTACAATACGAGTATGATGAAAGAATCTTTGGTCAGTCGCAGTGTACTAGAATTGTAAATAAAATATTGGAGTCAGCTCCATATATTACATGGGGTTCTGAATGGGGTAAGTGAAATAAATATATATATTCTAAATTATTAATTCTTATATTGATTCATTAATTTCATATTGGCGCCATCGACTGAGATGGTCAGGACATGTGCTACGTATGCCTAGTCATCGCCTTCCTCGACTGACGGGCAATGTTAGCTGACATAGGGTCAGGCTGAAAAAGAGCTAGCACGTGGTCAAACCAAAACATGGCACCAGTCAATGAAATCTACAACAGTTAGTCTAAGCCACGTAGGAAGGTGTAGACTTCCTGACTGGTTGGGGTCCTCGTGACGGTAAAAACCAATGGTTGGAAACAATTGGTGACATGGCCCAAAATCGTTCTCAGTTGCGCAAATGCATCCACTCCTTGTGACTTATGATTTCCAATTAAACTATATTGTTCTTCGTTATTACTATTCCTTTGTCTCACACCTCTGTTTACTGTCTCTAATATGCACTTCTCCTATTTTCTTCTCTTGCTTTGTGTGCTACATAGAGGGAGTGTGGCGACTTGAACTGGTGCACATATGTGCAAAGTTCTATGTCGAAAACCGACCGACCGACCGATATTGGCGCTATTGTGCTTGTGTCCACATTCTACTGAGAAATAACCAAGCAAGACGTCGAAATATCTTATGCTTCTTGGTTTCCTAACAAGTGCTCTGGATTATTTAGCCCTCCAAAGCCACATGGTACGATCAGGGGCTGGTAGACTTCAGTCTTCCCATGGAATTACTCTAATGTGGCTACAAGCCCCTTCCAGGTGAGTCCCAGTCACTGCCTTCACTTGGCTGAGAAGATTTTCCTCACAAAAGTGAAATAGCCAATGAGAGTGCCTGGAATTTGCAAACTAAGTGGTATTGAGCTGGAAAACCATAATTCTATACCTACGCTGCGCATGGGCTCCAGAATCCAAGAGAATCGAATGGCTTATGAACGTTATCGTCACCAGAATCCATGGGATCATAACTCCTGACGCTTCTCCGCTAACTTGTTGATCAGACTCAAGGTCAAAAGACTGAGTGCGCGGGTTGGCCCCTTAAGACAAATATCTGCTCCTCTCTAGGCAGTATCTCAAACCTCGTATAAACGATGCAATTTTGTGTGACGCATCTCTTAAGGCTGAGTAGTTCGTTGATCTATGTGATAAGGTTAACTGGTTGGGGGAGGATATCATCATGAGGTGACATCAGTTAGAGAACCACTGGAAAACTTGGGATTACTGGACAGCTGTTTCGTCATAGTAAACTATCTTTTGCATGTGATTAAAAAAGGTTACAAGTATACTCTAGTCTTGACATTCAGACTGAAAGTTAGATTGAATCTATTTAAAGTGTGTTTCATAGAAGTGTAAATGGAATTTGTAAACTGTTAGTGTTACAGGTATGTGGTTACTAATAGTTCACACACAGATATTCAATTGGTTTGAATAAAAGAATAAACTGGTCGAATTTGAATGACGTCAAGAAATATGTAACACTTTAATGGATTGCTAACATAATAGGTTCTTAGTATTCATCAGTAAGGTGCACATAACTGCCACGTTACTTTAATTCACTACCACCAGCATGGAATACCTAAATAGGCTTCTGTAACGACAGAAGACAAAGGACAGGCAACAGATCATTTATGTTGAGAAAATCAACAGATATTCATAGATTTTTATGTACATTGTTATTAGCGTTATTGTTAGGAGATTGTTGTTTTCTTGCTCAAGGTTATTCTGTCATCTCTTTGTGGCCGTTTCTTAGAAAGTTAAGCCATATATCTGCGAATTGTATTTGCACACGTTAGGTGTGCTGTGATTGGTTTTTGAGTTCCTCAAGGTTGGTCTTTGTAATTGTTTTATCTTGTGACCCTGATTCAGGACGTTAAAATTGACGTAAATTGTTGTCTACAATTTCGGCTTGTTCGTAAACAGCTGTCATCACACTTCTATCCAGTGATCAAGTGATATGCTTTAGCGTTTATTTAACGAGTGTCCCACTGCGTTATCTTTTTCAAACTCTGTATGAATCGAGCCCACAGTGGTCGCTTCGATACCATCCGTTAACCTTTCTCGTTAGAATGGATTATAAATTTCCAAATGATATCGCTTCCCCACTTACTGAGATTTTTAGTTTAACACTAGTTGATGGAAACTTGAAATTTAGTTGGTGTAACATTTTAGTGATCTAAGAGGCTGATCCCAATAGACTATTGACAATGATGAGGAGCAAAAGCTGGTAGAATGTTAGTCGGCTGAAAGCTGTCTTGCCGACTATAAACAATTGTGGGTGGTCAAGGCAATGTAGGTTAACGCGGTATCGACAGTAACTAATACTTGTCAACTAATCTGGCTTATTAAAAAGATTTTCTTTTGTATCATTTATGAAAGTGCTTTTTATATCGCTGCACAAAGAATGAAAATGTACCGATTTTATTGTTACTGTTGATGGTTGGAGGAAATCGGCAGAAGGCCTTAGATCTAGGTTTTGTGCTCTTTGGCTCTTGTCAGCAAGGCGTATGTTAAAACTTGAATGGTGTTAGGAAGAGGCAAAACACATGCAATTATCAAGTTATTATCGCGTTATTAACAAGTCGTTGACATGCAATTTTTCCTGCTTCTGATTGGACGCTTGCACAATTCAAACTCTCAACCTGATTGGTTGATTTCCAGTCTACCTCATTTTCTGTATAAATACAGTCAATTTTGTCATAATAAAGGAACCTGGGTTTACCGTTTGATTCTCTTCGTGTTCTGCTTTACCAGTTAAGTGGGTACTGGTCAATAGTTAAGCAGTGACCGCGTGACAAAGGATCCGGCATCATAACAAATGGGTTGATGTCCTTTCTGAGATTCGAACCCAGATCATCCAGTTCTGCAAACAGAGATGCTAACAGTGAGCTCTTCAGACTGGTGCTGGATCTCCTGTAGGACTGTAATTGGTACTTTGATTTAACACTAGGTAGAAACTAATGTCACGCGTCTAGTCGTTCGTTTATTGCAGAATGAATTCTCTCATCAACCAAGCTTGCAATGTGATCATCATACTAGACGGCTCAGTATTACAGTGCGCTTTAAACTGATGTTTTGTTGTTTTGTTTTAGACGCTGCAATGGATTGATCCTTTAACCGACAAAGCTTGTTTCTAATTGAGTTTGTGGGTTTGAATGCCAGTCACTTTCATTCCTGCATTGTTAAGAATTCTGCGTGAGGTTTCCCAGGTTCCTTCCTTGTATAGAATTACTACTGTTGATTCAGATTCCTTATTGTTGGCGTTGTCTTGCGCATATTTGACAAGCATGTCGTCATTACTATTACCATTATTATTATTATTATCACTAACAATTTAGTTTATCTAATACCCTACCTGCAGTGATTGTCAAATGGAATCCATAGGTAATACTAGTAGAACAGAGACAGTTAGTCAGACTAACCGAGCATAAAAATCTAGCAAAATCTAGATTAGTTGAATCGAATAAGATAAGAAATCTGGAAAATAGTTCAACTATACCACTCACCACATGCAATCACACACAACCATACAATAGGATGGATAGTATAAGATGACAGTTTTGAAATCTAATGCAACAGAGTGGGGGGAATGATTGATAACAGAAGCTTTGTTTATCGAATCAACTGCAAACCAATGCGTGTAATTGGAATGATTCAACACCTCTCCAGCCGGACATCTGGGAAATTCTACTATCCCTACGATGACGAATAGGAGAGAAGAAAGAAAACTATAAAACTCAAGTTTCGAAGTCGTGTGATTACAATTGATATTGTTATGAACAATAATAATAAGTGTCAGGAAAATTAAGTGATTAAAGTGACGGCTAATATAACTGGCTCCACAAGAGCAGTTAGTGTGATTAATGACTACATGTAGCTAACCTAGGTACTTCGTCTTTCATTGGTTGGGGATTTCATCAAGAGCTGACCTCGGTTAGAGAAACATTAGAAAACAAGCTGGGAGTACTTCCAAACAACTGTTTCGTCAGTACGCACCTACCGACAGGATTCTAACCCAAGACCTTCTGGCCACAAGGCTAGCGAGCTCGTAGACCATTCATCAGCCACTGGGACCCAATTCAATGTTCAGTCCATGAATTCCAACTTTTGCCAATTCACGACATATCACGATCACTTTGCAATGTCGTCTGCTTGGATGAGTTACTGCTCATCATGAAATCCTCCAGTCAATCAATCAAACAAAATCCTTACAAAGCAAATACTTGAAAACTTCCTTCTTCAGTTTAAAAATAACAACCGGTCATGCGAAAAATTTGACCTGCAGCTTATCGTCATTAAACGTTTTGATATATGTGTAGAACTTGGGCACTATGGCAGCAAGTAATTCCATATTAGTTTGTTTATTAGATATATCACACAGTGAGTGTAACAGAATTATTTACTAGATGATAAGGTTTCGAACACAATTTACTACTGCTCATAATCATATCATCAATTATAATCACACGACTTCGAAACTTGAGTTTTATAGTTTTCTTTGTTCTTCTCTATTTGTCGTCGTATGGGTAGTAGAATTTTCCAGATATCTCCGTGGACAGGTGTTAAATCATTCCTATTACACGTGTTTATTTGCAGTTGATTCGATAAACAAAGCTTCTGTTATCAATCTCTCCCTCCATTCATCCTGTGACATTAGATTTTAAAACTGTCATCTTATCCCATCCATCCTATTGTGTGGTTGTGTGTGACTGCATATGGTGAGTGGTATAGCTGAACTATTCTCTAGATTTCTTATCTTATTCGGGTCAACTAATCTACATTTTGCAGCTACGTTTTTATGTTCAGCTAGTCTGGCTGCCCCTGTTCTACTAGCTTGAACTATGTATTCGACTTGACAATCATTGCAGGTAGGGTATTAGATAAACTAAATTGTTTTGTTTTAAAGGCTCCACAGGATTGATCCTTTGGCCGAGAAAGCTTGTTTCTAATTGAATTTGTGGGTGACTGAATGCCAGCCATTTTTTATCTCTGCCTACCTTGTTAGGAATTCTGCTTAAGTTGGTTACCGAGGTCCCTTCCTTGTATGGAATTACTGCTGATGATTTAGATTCCTTATTGCTGGTGTTGTCACTATCCTGTGCATGTTTGGCATGCATGTCATCATTAATATTCTACTACCTCAGTGACGACAAATAGGAGAGGACAAAGAAAACTATAGAACTCAAGTTTCGAAGTCGTGCGACCACAATTGATATGATTATGAACAATAAATTTTTTTCAAAACGTCATCCAGTAAATAATAATACTGTTTCACTCGATGTGTGATACATCTAATGAACAAATTAATATGGAGTTATTAAACGTTGTTTAAATCGATTTCTTCAACTTGTTGGTTGTTATGTTCACTCAGTGCGTCAATTTTGAATAACATATCTAACAAACTATTCTTTACAATACTTTACATTTGTTCAGGTTGTTATGATTCATTACTACCTATAAATATTACTGGTTACTATCAAATTTATACAGAACCAATAGAAATGGTTACAATGGGTTTAGCTGCTCACACGAATGCATATTGTTCTGTGAACAGCCTGCATATTAGAAATGAAGTACCATTGGTTTGGTAAGTCAATCAATTTTCGTCTCTCTGTCTGTCTCTTTTACGTATTTTTCAAAATGAATATTGTTTATTTTTATTGAAAATGACAAATGAAGGTCATTGCTTTGGTGTTGACAATTTCAAGTCCACCAATCAGAGAATGCTTTAAATAGACTGCAGGTTCATGGCCATCACCATGGAAATCTATTGTAAGCAAATAACACGTTCTCTGATTGGTAGATTCCAGTCTTCTGACAACAGAGCCAATCAAATGACTATAGCCTTTATTCTCTGCCATGTAGACGATGTATGTAAAACAAGAATGCAGTATTTCAACATAAAAAATATCGATTTAAAATTGAAACAAGAAATGGTGAGTGAATGAGGCTCAAATCACATGTGACATCTATAATATTTCGAGTACTACGGCGTACCCCAAATATTCATCAACCTTATTCAACAGCTGTATGACAACGGCACATGTCAAGTGATCCACAATGGAAAACTCAGCGAGGCGTTTGGAGTAAACACAGGAGTCAGATAAGGGTGCTTATTATCACCAATGATATTCCTAATTGTGGTGGACTGGATTATGCGTCAGACAATGGGAAACGAGAAGACAGGGATATCCTGGACCACCGACCTGAAGAACCTAGAAGACCTGGATTTCGCGGATGATTTATGTTTGGTGATACACAAAATCGAAGACTTACAAGCAAAAACTGGCAAACTGGTCGAAGAAGCAGCCAGAGAAGACAGGACTCCAGGTGAACATAGACAAGACGGAGGTTATGAAAATAACCAACCAACAACAACAACAACAACAGCAGCAACATCCAGCGCCAATCACCATCAACAGGAGGGATTTGAAAGAGGTTACTTCATTCACTCATCTAGGGAGCATTGTCTCAACTACAGGAGGAACGGATGAGGATGTCAAATCGAGCAACAATCGGGAAGACGAGAAAGACATTCATCAACCTGAAACCAATCTGGAAATCTTCGTCACTCAGCATCAACAACAAAATGATTCGGATTTTCAATACAAACGTCAAGTCAGTCAGTTGTTCTATACGGATGGATCAGAAACTTGGCGGGTCACAAAGAATATTTTCAACAGCCTGTTGCAGACCTTTATCAACAACTAACTGTCTTCACTCTATACTGAAGATCAGATGGCCGGAAAGAACAAGAACCAACAAGAAACTATGGGAACAAACAAAACAAGAACCAATCGCTCAACAAATATGCAGGAGAAAGTGGAGATGGATTGGACACTTGCTGAGGAGGCCGCTGGGTGACATCACACTACAGATAAAATGCGTTTGTTTAGAATTTGTGAGGATTACTTCAGCACTATTGATCGATCTGGCTAGCAAGCACTAGTAGTTAGTGTGAATGGCATTCAACTACTCACATTTCTCACTTAGTAGTATATGACGTTAATTCTGCTCGTTGATGTTATTGTTGTTACTAATATCTATGCCACTATCTACTTAGTGCAATGATGACTCTGTCTGCGATGAGAATGCTGAAATAATGTTGACATCTACCATCATAAAGAATCCAAGGCATCACAAGTTGTCATCAGCAATATTGAATGAGACGTAATCAATGGACAATTTTTTCCATATTAGTTTTTTTATTAGATGTATCACACAGTGAGTGAAACAGTATTATTTACTGGATGACACAATTTTAAACACAATTTATTACTGCTCATCATCATGTCATCAATTATAATCACACAACTTCGAAACTTGAGTTTTATAGTTTCCTTTGTTCTCTCCTATTTGCCGTCGCAGAATTTTCCAGATATCTGGGACAGGTGTTGAATCATTCCTATTACACATATTCTCTCTCAGTTTATTCGATAAACAAAGCTTCTGTTATCAATCTCTCCCTCCACTCTGCTGTTACATTAGATTTTAAAACTGTCATCCTGTCCCATCCCATCGTATTGTATGGTTGTGTGTAATTGCATGTGGTGAGTGGTATAGCTGAACCATTCTCTAGATTTCTTATCTTATTCGGGTCAACCAATCTAGATTTTGCTGCTAGGTTTTTATGCTCGGTTAGTCTGACTGACTGCCCCTGTTCTACTAGTTTGACCTATATATTCGACTTGACAATCATTGCAGGTAGGGTATTAGATAAACTAAATTGTTTTGTTTAATTGGCTCCACTGGCAGGATCCTTTAACCGACAAAGCGTTTTTCTAATTTTAGTTTGTGTGTTTGAATGCCAGCCACTTTTATTCTTGTCTTGTTAAGAATTCTGCGTAAGGTTTCCGAGGTTCCGAGGTTCAGTAGTAATTCCATACAGGGAAGGAACCTCGGAAACCTTACGCAGAATTCTTAGCAAGGCAGGAAAGAAAGTGGCTGCCATTCAAACCTACAAACTCAATTAGAAACAAGCTTTGTCGGTTAAAGGATCAACCTGTCCCAGATATCTGGAAAATTCTTTTACTCCTACGACAAATAGGAGAGGACAAAGAAAACTATAAAACAGATTTCAAAGTCGTGTGGTTATAATTCATGAAATGATTATGAACAGTGAATAAATTGTGTTCGAAACTGTGTCATCCACTAAATAATACTGTTACACTCAGAGTGTAATACATCTAATAAATAAACTGATATGGAATTACTTTCTGCCATAGTGTCCAAGTTTTACACATATATTTATGGGCAGTTTAGAAAACTCAGTGAAAACGATATTGATTGAAGTCATAAATGATAATTGTATTTAATGACAAATGCGACGTCCATAGACAATATGCCAGTTTAGTAAAATGGAGGCCTCATTTTTGAAAAATTCTACCGCGAATTAAGCTCTCATTTCAGATTGGATCATTGCGCAATACATTATTCATTTTGTTGCCTATCTGATGAATGCACATTGTTTTCCCCAGTGTTGTAAGTTATTCTTAAACAATTGTTTGAAATCAGTTAGAAAGCCACTAGAAAACCTCTAAGGACCTGGGTTCGAATATTAGCGGTGGGTGCGTACTGCTGAAACAGAGTACCAAACTAGGCTGACAAAACAGCTGTTCAGTACTCCCTGACTGGTTTCCAATGCTTTTCTAAATGATATCAGCACATGATGAAATCCTCTAACCAATCAATCAAACAAAATTCCCACAAAAATCAATAGGTGAAAATTAATTGGTGCATGGTGACTAGTAGTGGTGGAATCCAGCCAAGATGCGCATTTCGTCCTGTTTGGGATTCGTCATCTGAATATGCCTGCATTCCGCAGTGAGTGATGATGTTCCCACCCATAGTTTCAAACGCCGAAGCGTTATCCACTAGACCGCTTGGACCACGACAGCCACCTCTTATGCAACCGGTCATATTAATTATTTAATTCAGTTTTAGATTTTCCCGTCGACTGATTGGATTGAAGTGCTCAGTGTGTGCGTACTGCTGAAGCAGAGTCCCAAGCCAGGCTGACGAAACAGCTGTCCATTACTCCCCGACTGGTTTTCTAATGGCTTTCTAAATGATTTCAAACAATTGTTTAAGAATAACTTACAACACTAGGGAAAACAATGTACATTCGTCAGATAGGCAACAAAATGAACAATGTATTGCGCAATGATCCAATCTGGAATGAGAGCTTAGTTCGCGGTAGAATTTTTCAAGAAAACGAGGCCTCCATTTTACTACATGTGGATAACGCTTTGGCGTTTGAAACCATGGGAACTAGGTTCGAGCTTCGGTGGGAACATCATCATTCATTGCGGAATGCAGACACATCCAGCTCACGAGTGGCAGATAGGACGAAATGCGCGATATCATGGATTCCACTGCTGCTAGTCACCATCCACCAATTAACTTGTAATTACATGCCCAGACATCGTCGAAGCATCTGCACAAGAAGCCGACAGACATGTCAACCTGAGACTGAGCACTTTGGTCCAATCAATCGACAGGAAAATCTAAAATTGAAACTTGTTTGAAAATTAATTTCTCTCTCTGATATTCTAGTCAAATGAATATCTTCGGTGGATACAGTTGGTGGGCAGTTAAAGAACATTCATGTTCAGTTCCAGAATTTGAATTGCCACTATTCAGTGAATTAATTGAATATAGGGAAAGTAAGTAAACCCCTTTTTGTAGTAGTAATAATAATAATAATAATTTTTATTTTATTCTTAGTCTATATTTATGAGTATTTTCTGCAGATATTTTTAAACCGAAATGCTGACATGTTAACCTCTTTTGTTGAATGGATGCCTCGATGCTGTTTTGATTCTAAATTTACTTATTTCATAGTGACTAACTAGCATGGTAACGACAGAAGACAAGAGCCAGGAAACAGATCGTTCATTGAGAAAATCGACAGATATTAAGGAATTTTATGTACATTATTACTAGCGTTATTTTTAGCAGAGAAGCAACCTCTTCTGATTGGTTGTTTTCCTGCTCGAGTTTATTCCCTACAGCTTGTGACCATTTCTTACAAGGTTATCCATATGCCTTCGAATTGTATCCGCCCACGCAAAGTCTGACGTGATTGGTTGTTGAGTTCCTCAAGGTTAACCTTTGTTACTGTTTTTTTCTCATGACCCCGACTTGGGACGTAAACATTAACGTAAACTGTTGTCAACAATTTTTAGCTTGCAGCCAGCCCTCACCACACACTGGCTCCAGAATCCGAATGGATCAATTGACGTATGATCCTGTTTTGGTTAGTAGAAACCATGAGAATGTAGCTTGTGACTTCTTGTCAGAGGCTGGGCTGTTGAACCGCGAGTAGGGAGTGAGGTTCCTTAAGACAACCACATGCTTTAGTCTGAGCGGTCAGACAATATAACCAGCCCTCCTGCAAGCTATGAAACAGTTTTGTGTAGCGCATCTCTTAATAATAATAATATGCTTTATTCCAGAAACAGTACTAGTGGTACAGTGTGGAATTTTCAGCACATATCTACAATATTTGCATCTCATTTTATCAAACATTTAAAAGGAGTATTTCAAAAAATAAATATAAAGACAACAACAACAAAAAAGCACAAAAATAATTTTTTTTTAATGTGAAAAAATACCCATAAGTAGAAAGGAAAATAAACAACATAAAATAATATCTCAGTATTGGGTAGTGGAAGCTATGATATGATTATGCATGGTGACAGTAAAGCTATAGTCATACAAGAAGTTATGAAATGATATTTAAGAATGTTTATCGCCAGGATGATCAGTTAATTTGGTTGAAACAACACTAAACAATCATAAAATAACATTTCAGGGTTGTTGTTTTGTTTTTTATTGTCAGGTCTAATGCAGTGTTTGTAGTGGTTGTGTGAGTAATCCTGCATAATACAAGATTTTAAGATGGTGATAATGGCTTTCACAACCAAGATTTTCAGTTAATATTGCTGAACAAAAAGAACAACAACCACAAAAACTAATAATTACATGATGGTTAATGACAGGACAATTTTGTAGTACTCATAGTGCTAATATAGTCGGAACCAGTAGATACACAAAAGAAGGAATAGAGTAAAGTACAAAAAGTAAGCAATGTTAATAATTTAGGTAGCTAGGTATGTTTAAGAAGGAGTTCACTATAAAATGCGAAATAAGAGAGAAATAAGAGAAATAACAACAAAGCAAGTCATAGGTTTCGCGCTTAACATTGTCTCTGTCACTTAGAACACGGGCCAAATATGGTATCGTTGAGTTCCTGTACTTGGTTGTACGAGCATAGGTTATTTTATACTGATTTCTACTTAATGAGATACAAGGTGAGAGTCGGGAATAGAGGGGTTGTTGGGGGTCGGAGAGTATGGTTTTAGACCAATTTTCGCATGTATTTAGAGGCCTTTCAACTAATGTAGTGATGAGCTGACTGAGTTTTACACCACTAGTCCTACTAACTACCTTCAACATCCTTCTCGGAATGGTATAGTCGTTTTCCAGTAGCCCAGGAAAGACTAACGGGGAGCAGTAAAGTAGAATAGGTAAGATACAAGAGTTGACAAATTGTGAAAGTAGAGGTTGGGTGATTCCAGATTGTCTTAGTTTCTTAATGTAGTAGGTTAAACAGAACACTTTCTTAGAAATCGTTAGGATATGCGATGTCCAAGTAAGGTCGAAAGATAGAACTAGACCGAGGTATTTTGCATTAGACTTAGTGTTTCAATTTTAGTCCCCTCAATGCAATAGGCTTCATGAGTACTTACTAGTGTGTTTGTGGATCTCGTTTATGCCTAGAGGAGAAGTCAATAGTCTGGCATTTTGAGGGATTTCGCATGAGACCATTTAGTTTAGACCACTGACTGATGTCCCACAGGAAGCTATTTAATTTGAAACAGTCTGACTGAGACTTAATGGGAAGCGAAACAGTCACAGGTCATCTGCATATTTGACGAAGTTGATTTCATCTGAGAGAGGTAAGTCATGTAAGAAGAAGGAAAAGAGAAACGGTGCTCATAATCTGTACCAAGTTTCCGTTTTTACTGATTAAAATAAACAATTTCACTGTGCACGAACTATTGAGTAGACAAATTAATTTCCGAAGGCATTCATGTGCTGTTTTGACCTATATTGTCTTTCTTTGCTCAGGTCCAATCTATTGTTCATTACGCATATTTTTCTTATATGGTTATATGAAAGTTGGTCTAGACAGTATTACAACACGAATTGAGAATACACTGGAAACACTGTCACAAGATTGTCAATCTCACGAAAAATGGATATTTGAAAGTATCTATAAAGATTTACTCAATATATTCGATCTGCTTATTTATCATTCAGTGCGAAAAAGAGATATGTTTTATGAGACTAAGTAATTATTCAATGTGTGATTTTGTTTTGCTGTTTTAAAGATATTGAACAATTAAATGAAGGTCAATTTGAAATACTTTTAGATTTTCGTTACAAGTGACATTTTAAATGTTAGGGAGTATTGAACAGCTGTTTCGTCCCAGTTTGGGACTCTTTAATAATAATGATAATCTACTTCATTCCAGAAACAGTACTACTTATAATACAGAATGGAATTCTCAGCATTTGTCATAATATTGCATCTGATTTACTCAAAATATAAATAAAATTAAAAATTAAAACAAAATTAACCAGAGGAATTTGTCCACATTTACGATATGAAGTCAAAAATATTCGAAGTACGAATTGAGATTACTAAATATAATAATAATAACAGTGAGTTTGTTTCAAACGGTATTGTCGATTCAGTTTGGAAACTTCAGCATGTTATAGATTATTGGATCTAATGTTCTGTTTATATAGTTAAGTGAGGGGAAACACAAAATTAACAGTTATAATACAGCTTAAATTATGTCTATAAATAAATAAGTATAAGAAATACAATAACAATAAAGGTTGATGTTATAAGGGTGAAGGAAATGGTTTATTTACCGGTTCAAAAACGGTTAGTTAGCTCATGCCTAACACTATTTTAATCGCATAAAGTACGTGCCAAATATGGTATAGTGGAACTTTTATACGTAGACGTACGTGCGTTGAGTCTTCTGAAAAGACTTTATGTTTTACCTGACGAGACACAAGGTTGGAGCTGCGGTTAGAGTGGGTGCTTAGAGTCTGACAAAAATCCCTTAGCAAATTTGTTGCATTACATCGAGTGCCTATCAGTGACGATGTCAACGATATACAGTGTCAACCTACGAATCCACCTGTCAGGGTTCGAACCCGGGACCTTCAACTTACAAGAACAAGCTTACTGATCGTTCAACCACCTGAGCTGGGATTTGGTAACCCCTGAATTTTAACTCTGTCACCTTTTGATACTTGCACGCTTTTAAATCACGAAAAATACCCATTTATTTATAAGTAAAAACACAGTTTTTGTTCAGCGAAGAAATTTCTTTTCAACGACTTCATTTTCAAGCTGTACAATCGTATTTATATTACAGAAAAGGTTATTGAGTGGCACTAAATAATTGCTCAGTCAATATACATATATGTGATAAGAATAACGATAATTAAAATGTTATAAGGGGTAGAGTTGAAGTGGATAAATTACAAAATTATTAAAGATTGTTTTATAAGTGAATTGAAATCAAAAATGTTTTAAAAATGTCAAGTGTTGTCTAAAAATTTTAAAAAATTAGGAGTACGATTACGATAAGAATGAAGGTGTGAAGTGAAGTGGAAAGAATTCAAGTGGTAAAATAAAATAAAGTAAAAACTAGAAAGAACATTACTATGAGCAAGGTAAAGAAAGGGGTTTGACAAAACGTTTTTGAACACATAATTTAGGTTTCTGTTCATGTATAGCTAAGGCCTCGGGTATGCATAAGTGAAGATACAGTGCTACAGTAGGAAATCGTGACTACTGGGGTCCATCATGTCAGGGCGCTTTATCATGAGTGGAAAAAGTTAGAATTCAGGCGTCACTGAATTCCATCCCAGGTGGCTGAGTTCACAACGAGGTTGGTCTCGTAAGCTGAAAGTCCCGGGCTCTACCCCTGGTAAGCTCATGGATGTATGTTGTTCAGTGCTCCGTGGTTTTCAGTGATCCCTCTAACTGATGTTCTCTGTGGTTCTATAACTGATGTCAACTTTTGATAAAACGTCTGACCAATTAAATCCCTGCTTATTATGGTCTAAACACTGTGTTGAACACTTCAAAAGATTCCTAAATCGACCACCACCTACAACGCGCCCAACAATACCAACAACGGAGACAGAGCTACCAGTGAACACCAACCCCCCGACGAAATCAGAAGTCCTGAAGGCAATCAAGATGCTAAAAGCTGGAAAAGCAGCAGGACAAGATGGAATCCCAGCAGAAGCATTGAAAATGGATCCAGAGACAACGGAGGACTTGATGACGCCACTACTGGAGAACGTGTGGAAAGAAGGCAAGGTACCCGAGGATTGGAAGAAAGGATACTTATTCAAACTGCCAAAGGAAGGAGACTAAAGCCAATGCAATAACTGGCGCGGAATTATACTCCTGCGTATTCCAAGCAAAATACTAAGCCGCATCATCCTGGAGAGAATCAAACATGCCCTGGATGAAAAACTTCGACCGGAACAGGCTGGATTCAGGAAAAACAATTCATGTATTGATCAGATTGGCACATTACGGATCACTATTGAACAGAGCTTGGAATGGCAGTCACCTTTCTATCTCAACTTCATCGACTTTGGAAAGGCCTTCGACAGCGTCGATCGAGAGGTGATTTGGCAGCTACTACGCTACTATGGGGTGCCACTGACAATTATACATCTCTTACAACAGCTGTACGACAATGTTTCATGCCGAGTAATCCATAACGGGAAACTTACGGAATCCTTCGAAGTGAGGACAGGAGTAAGACAAGGCTGCCTACTATCTCCAACGATCTTCCTGATTGCAGTAGACTGGATGATGAGACATACAGACAGCGGGCAATGAGGAAACAGGCATAAAATGGACTCACACAAAAAACCTGGAGGATCTTGACTTCGCCGATGATGATATATGTCTGATTTCCCACAAACTGGAAGATATGCAAGCGAAAAGCAACAAGTTTTGGCAGAAGAAGCATCCAGAGAAGATAGGACTTCAGGTGAACATAGATAAAACAGAGGTGATGAAGATTCCTGGTCAACACCACCAACAGCAACAACAACAACAACTGACAACAATCAGCATAAATGGAAGGAACCTGAAAGAAACAACCTGCTTTACCTACCTGGGAAGCATCGTTTCAACTACAGGCGGAAGGAACTGGTGAGGATATCAAAGCAGCGAGGATCGGGAAAGCAAGACAAGCTTTCACTACTCTCAAGTCTGTGTGGAGATCAACACTCAGCACTCAGCATGAAAAATAAGATCCGGATTTTCATTTCCAATGTGAAGTCAGTCGGTGCTACTTACTATACGGATAAGAGACTTGGCGCGTCATAAAGAGTACCTCAAACAAACTACAGACCTTCATTAACAGTTGTCTTCGCTCAATACTACTCAAGATCAGATGGCTGGTCAGAAAAGATCAGCAACAGGGATCTCTTGGAGCGAACCAACACAGCAGGAACCGATTGTGAAACAAATAGGTAGGAAGAAATGGAGATGGATTTGCCATACTCTGAGGAAACCATCAAGTGACATCACTAGACAAGCCACTGCTCTAGTGGAACCCGAAAGGGAAGCGGCGAGTTGGTCGTCAGTGTGAGGGTGACTTGGAGGAGGTCATGTGAAGAGGAGATGAAAGCGTGTGGGCAGACTTGTAGCCAGGTGGAGACTGTAGCACAGAACCGAACGCAATGGAGACGCACGGCTGAAGCCTTATGTTCCTCTAGGAATCAAAGGAAACAATAATAATAATATAATGGTCTAGAATAATAAATGAATGTTTTTGTGATTAGTAAGTTTCGTTAACGGTGGGTATAATCAGCAAACACAGCATGCCAGTCATCCGACTGCTTGGGCTTCATCAACTTTGGAAAAGTATTCGTTAGAATTGACCGTACAGTAATTGGGAAACCGCCTCAACTCCACAGAGTGTAGTAGCACAAAGCTTTAGCAATCTTATTCAACAAATTTACAAGTGAAAACTCAACGAAACCGAGGCTAGCTAACATCACTGATGTTATTCCTGATCACGGTGGGTTGAATTATGCAACAGCCTATGGGGAGAGACAACGTGGTTATATTATTATTATTATTGTTCCCTTGGGTTCCTAGTGGAACATAGGGCTTCAACTGCACGTCTCCACTTGCTTCTGTCTTCTGCTGTTCTTTTCACTTGCGTCCATGTTATTCCATACTGTTTCATCTCCTCCTCACACGATCTCCTCCATGTCACCCTTGGACGTCCCACTCGCCGCTTCCCTTTCGGGTTCCACTCGAGGGCTTGACGCGCGATGTCACTCAACGGCCTCCTCAGCGAGTGTCCAATCCATCTCCACTTCCTCCTGCATATTTGTTGGGCGATTGGTTCCTGTTTCGTTTGTTCCCATAGCTTCTTGTTTGTGATTCTTTCTGGCCATCTAATCTTCAGTATGGAGCGAAGACAGTTGTTGATAAAGGTCTGCAACCTGTTGAAAATATTCTTGGTGACCCGCCAAGTTTCTGATCCGTAAAGCAAAATTGACTTGACGTTTGTGTTGAAAATCCGAATCATTTTGTTGTTGATGCTGAGTGAGTGACGAAGATTTCCAGATTGGTTTCAGGTTGATGAATGTGTTTCTCGCCTTCCCGATTCTCGATTTGACATCCTCGTCCGTTCCTCCTGTGGTTGAGACAATGCTCCCTAGATAAGTGAATGAAGTAACCTCTTTCAAATCCCTCCCGTTGATGGTGATTGGCACTGGATGTTGCTGCTGTTGTTGTTGTTGTTGTTGGTTGGTAATTTTGATAACCTCCGTCTTGTCTATGTTCACCTGGAGTCCTGTCTTTGCTGCTTCTTCGACCAGTTTGTCGGTTTTTGCTTGTAAGTCTTCGATTTTGTGTGCCATCAAACATAAATCATCCACGCGCGAAATCCAGGTCTTCTAGGTTCTTCACCTCGGTCCAGGATATCCCTGTCTTCTCGTTTCCCACTGCCTGACGCATAATCCAGTCCACCACAATTAGGAATATCATTGGTGATAATAAGCACCCTTGTCTGACTCCTGTGTTTACTCGAAACGCTTCGCTCAGTTTTCCGTTGTGGATCACTTGACATGTGCCGTTGTCGTACAGCTGTTGAATAAGGTTGATGAATATTTGGGGTACGCCGTAGTACTCGAGTAGTTTCCAAATTACTTCGCGGTCAACGCTGTCGAAGGCCTTCTCAAAGTCTATAAAGTTGAGGTGGATGTTTGATTGCCATTCCATGCTTTGTTCGATGATAATGCGTAGAGTTGCAATTTGGTCAGAACATGATTTGCCTTTCCTGAATCCAGCTTGTTCTGGTCGGAGTTCTGTATCCAGTGCGTCCGTTATTCTCTCCAGGATGATGCGACTCAGGATTTTACTTGGCGTCGACAGGAGCATGATTCCTCGCCAGTTCTTGCAGAGTCCCAGGTCGCCCTTCTTTGGTAGTTTCACCAGGTAACCTTTCCTCCAGTCAATAGGCACCTTTCCCTCTTTCCAGATCTTTTGCAATAATGGAGTCAGCATATCTGCCATCGTTTCTGGGTCCGGTTTCAGTGCTTCCGGGGGTATTCCATCTGGTCCAGCTGCTTTTCCAGCTTTCAGAAGCTTGATTGCATTCATGACTTCAGTTTTAGTTGGAGGATTGGTGTCAACTTGCAGTTGTGTACGTGCTGTTGTTGGTATTACTGGACGGGTTGTAGGTGGTGGTCGGTTCAAGAGTCCTTTGAAGTGGTCCGCCCATTCTTTAATCTGTCTTTCTTCTTTGGTAATTGGGTTCCCTTGGCTGTCTTCTATAGGTTTCACTTGTGTTGATCTCTTCCCGGATAGAGACTTGGTTATCTGATATAGTGTCCTCAGGTCCCTTTTGCCTGCTGCCTTCTCAGCTTCAGTAGCCAGGTTGTCGTAGAATTGTCTTTTGTCCTTCCTGGCACTCTTCTTCACTTCTTTGTCCAGTGCTGTGTAAGTTGAATTCAGCGTCTCAAACTCTTGTCCATCTTTGCATTGAATCATTTTCTCTTTCACCTTTCTCCTCTCCTCTATTAGTTTCCAAGTGTCTGTTGAGAGCCATTCCTTGTCTTGTTTCTTCTTTCTTCCTAAAACCGTTGAGCACGTTTCGTTTAAAATTACCTTCAGAGAGTTCCAATGGTCTTCCACGGATGATTCCTCAGTGGTGCTACGTAGTGTTTCCTGCTTTGCTCTGACAGTTGCAGTGAAAATGTCCTGTGTGATTGTGTCCTTCAGTTTTTGCGTGTTGAACTTGCATTGTGGCCTATCTCCAGCTATCCTCGAGGCTTTCAGCTTCACCTTGAAAGTCCCTTGTACCAGATAGTTGTCTGAACCCACATCTGCTCCTCTCCTCGATCTTGTGTCCAGTAGGCTCCGTCTCCACTTCCTTGAGATTGAAATGAAGTCTATCTGGTTTTTGGTGTGTCCATCTGGTGAAATCCATGTTGCCTTGTGTATATCCCTGTGTTTGAACACACTGCCACCAATCACCAAATCATTGAAGGCGCAGAAGTCTGAGAAGAGTTCACCATTTTCGTTCATTTCACCGAGGGCCTCACGACCCATGGTGAGTTCTCTTCCTGTATTGTCTCCTCCCAGTTTCGCATTCATGTCGCCCATCAGGATTTTGATATCGCTCTTTGGGACGTTGTCCATTACTGTTTGTAGTTGACTGTAGAAATCCTCCTTCTTCTCATGTTCTGAGGCGTTTGTAGGCGCGTAGCACTGAATGATTGTAACCTTTTTTCCTTTTGAGTTGAACCTGGCTGTCATTATCCTGGAGGAGATTGGTTCCCACTGCATGAGAGCTTTAGCCGCTGTTGGTGACATCATGATGGCTACTCCCTCGGTGTGCTCGTGATTGTCCTCTGGGTGACCGGAGTAGATTATTGTCTCTCCAGTTGATAGTTGGCTCCTTCCACATCCGTTCCATCTGCTCTCGCAGATTCCCAACACTTCTATTCTATATCTCCTCATTTCTGCGGCTACCTGAGCAGCCTTCCCAGCTTCGTACATTGTACGAACATTCCACGTCCCCATCCTTATTTTCGCTTTCATCGAAAGAAGGCACATCGGCTGACTGGCTTCCCGAAGGCTTTCACCAGCCCGCGTCATTTCACTTCCCCGATTCTAGCGAAAAATAAGGTCACTATTTGTAATTTTAGAATTTTGAATATACTTGTGCGTTGAAGTTTTAGTAGCAATTTGGTTAAGTTTTGGGGGTGGAGTTGCTAGCACCACGCCCCAACCCTCCCTCTTTATCCGGGCTTGGGACCGGCTAGAATACTAGTGACCTAGTAATCTAGGCGAGGTTAACGCGGTTATATGCGAATCAAAAAAATATATCTAGGGTGTCAGGACCTAGCGAATGATTTATATCCAGTGTCAAACAAATTAGCAGAAGAAAAAGTAGGCGACGAAGACAGAATTCTAAGTAAACGACCGTTTCATTTTATTACTGGAGACTAGACGGTCAACTGGAAGGGATTAACAACACGAAACTCCGAAAACAAATAAACAAAGAAGCTAATCCCTCAAAAAATACGTAGAAGAAATTGGAGGTGGATTAGACACATCGCACACCAGGCCCTCGAGTAGAACCCGAATGGAGACCGATAAGTTGATCGTCGTCTGTCTGAGACTAATATGAGAGAGGTGATATGAAGGGGAAGAGATGAGACGAGCTCATGGGCAGTCACGTAGCCAACTTAAGACAACTGGAGAAAAAAAAGAGGATGATGGGATTGGAACAGTAGTACTAGGTAGCACATAAAAGACCTAAATGATGAAATAAAACAGATAGATGAGGCGTTGGTATCAAATAACTACCCTACAAAATTCATTAGGAATATCAATAAAAGTCAAAAACAAAATAAAAATAAAGGTGAAGCTAATAATGATAACATAAATAAGAGAGAATAAAAGGCATCTATTGCTATACCATATAAGGAGGGGACATATGAGGCCCTACGTAGGATTCTAAATAAAGCAGGAATTAGGGTGGCATTCAAACCTACAAGCTCACTCAGAGACAAGCTCTGTAGGCTAAAAGACCCGATGGACCCAATTGAACAAAATAATATAATTTACAAAATACCCTGCAATGACCGTGAGGTCAACTACATAGGTCAAAGTAGTAGGTCCGGGGTAGTCAGATTGCTGGAACATAAGAATTCAGCTAAGGTAAGAATGGTTGACCCAGAGAAGGTAAGTAATTTAGAAAAAAGCTCAGCACTACATTGCACTGCATGCATTAACACACAACCACACAATAGGGTGGGAGAGGGCTGAAATTCTAAGAAGTAATATAAGTAGGTGGAGAGACAGCGAGATTGACTACTGAATCCTGCCTGGTTCATCGAGTCTACACCCAACACAACACATGCAACAGAAATGACTCAACGCAAATACCAGAGATATGCATGGAAGATATTATTACCACCAGTCAGTCAAATCAGAAGAGGATAATAAATAATCTCAAAATTCTATTTTAGTTCACGTACATCATAACATTCTAACAAGTTACTTATTACGACTATAAAAACACTCGTCTTATTTCCCATCTGATTGTAATTGATTGATAACACTAATATTATTTCTGGATGTCCATTATCCTGTATATCTTTGATGTCACACAAAATCAAAGACTTACAAGCGAATACCGACAAACTGGTCGAAGAAGCAGCAAAGACAGGACTCCAGGTGAACATAGACAAGACGGAGGTTATCAAAATTACCAACCAACAACAACAACAACAGCAGCAGCAACATCCAGTGCCAATCACCATCAACGGGAGGGATTTGAAAGAGGTTACTTCATTCACTTATCTAGGAAGCATTGTCTCAACTACAGGAGGAACGGACAAGGATGTCAAATCGAGAATCGGGAAGGCGAGAAACACATTTATCAACCTGAAACCAATCTGGAAATATTCGTCACTCAACTCAGCATCAAGAACAAAATGATTCGGATTTTTAATACAAACGTCAAGTCAGTCAGTTCTTCTATACGTACGGATCAGAAACTTGGCCAGCGGGTCACAAAGAATATTTCCAACAGCCTGTTGCAGACCTTTATCAACAGCTGTCTTCGCTGGCTCTATACTGAAGATCAGATGGCCGGAAAGAACAAGAACCAACAAGAAACTATGGGAACAAACAAAACAAGAACCAATCGCTCAACAAATATGCAGGAGAAAGTGGAGATGGATTGGACACTCACTCGCTGAGGAGGTCGCTGGGTGACATGGCGAGTCAGGCCATTGCTCGAGTGGAACCCGAAAGGGAAGCGGCGAGTGGGACGTGCAAGGGTGACATGGATGAGATCGTGTGAAGTGGAGTTGAAACAGTATGGACTAACATTGATGCAAGTGAAAAATACAGCAGAAGACAGAAGCAGGTGGAGACGTGTAGTTGAAGCCCTATGTTCTCCTAAGAACCCAAAGGAACAATTATACAATAATAAAATAATAACGTAAATGAAAGAAAAAAGTTGTGTCAACGACTTGATATGATTATGAGCAGTAATAGTTTTTGCTCTCGGTACGTAGTCATCAGTTAATATTACCGTATGCTCTACCACAGTGCCCAAGTTTTATTGTGATATCAAAAATGTGCTGATATAGAGATGTACTGTAGAAGCTCTGTATACCCCAGCAAATCTAATGGAATTATTATGGTGATAACATATAAGATATATTAAAATTTATTATTATTAATGTTATGAGTACTTTTCATTCTTTATTTTGATTTCTTAACAGATATTCTCCGAAGATCTATCAAATAATGTTGCTTTTCAACAGTTATTTTAGTAGTTATTTCAATATGAATACAGCAGAGGCGTATCATCGCAGTCGATTCATACACTGGTACACTTATCCAGCAGGTAAAAATGTTAGAGTTGTAGATGTAAGTCAGCCGACGAATCAACAGGATTTATGTTGTAACGACAGAAGACAAGGGTCAGGCAACAAACATATCGTTTATTCAGAAAATCAACAGATATTTATTGATTTTTATGTACATGATTATTAGCGTTATTATTGGCAGAGAACCAACTTCTTCTGATTGGTTGTTTTCTTGCTCAAGGTTATCCTGTCACCTCTTTGTGGCCGTTTCTTTAAAAGTTAAACTATAAATCTGCGAATCGTATCCACCCACGCAAAGTCTTCTGTGATTGGTTGTTGTTCTTTTTGTCTCATGACCAAGATTTGGGACGTAAACATTGACATAAATTGGTGTCTACCAATTTTGGCTAGCAGCTCTGACAGCTCTCACCACAATGTCCTTTATTTTGATATTATTATTATTATTCTTGGGAGATGTTTTATAAGCCACCATCAGCTTAGAACTTTCATTATTCGCCTGGCTTTAATATATCGTATACATTTCACTCGGTTTTCTGCAGTTGTTTTAAGCAGACTCCAAGATTGGCGATAACTGCTCATCTCTCACTCACACGAACTCCTCCATGTTGTCCTGACAGAGACATCCAACTAGTAGTTTCACATTAGGGTTCAACTCGATGGCATGGTGCGTGATTTCACTCAACAGTTTTCTCAGTATACATCTAATTCAACTTTACTTTCTTCTGAATGTTTGTTGGGTAGTAGGTTCTCGTTTGAGCTAGTTTACTAATAGTTCCAGGCTGTTGTTGGATATGATTTTCATGACTCGCCAACTCTCTGAACCGAATAAAAGCACTGAGTGACCTTAGGTTAGTGTTGAAAATCCGGATGTTGTTCCTTATTCTGGGTGAATTAGATCTTCCCACTGATTCCCATGAAATGAAGGTCTATTTTGGTTTTTCGATTCTGCTCTTACATAATATATATATTGCACAGCAAGCATAACGGACAGTATATTTTTGATGTGGTTTTGTTCTGTGAGGTAGATGCTTGATTTGCGAAGCTTCCATTGCCTTACTAGGCAACATCTTCAGCGCATACTTCAATTTGATGAAGTCAGCTTTTAGATTTCTCTGAGTTCACTATTGGTCATCTCTCCTGGTGTTTGACCTTGAGTGTGATTAGTTGTTTTTGTGTGTTTTCAAAACATCTAGGCTACTTGTATTGAAGCTGATTGTTTCTTTGACTTGGACTTTGACCCCTTGTGTGTGAGGTTTCCTTCTTATCGATTGATAAATTTTGTCTATCATGATGTCTCTATTGATTGACGATTCACTGGAATACTAGGCAGGCTTCTAAAAATTCTCTAGCATTCTCAGTGTTTCCTCTCTCTCCCTAATATTTGAACGCCGTCACATCCAGCTCAGAGAACACAACTACATCAAAATCATCCACCTGAGCTACAAATCTTCTCCATCATAAAAAACGGTATTTTTGGGAAATTACCTTCATTTCACATTAACAACTGATCAACTGCTCAACTCTTAACATTGGTGTTCTGCAGTCTATCTCCATGCGTGGGATATGAGTGCAAAACCTGAGAGGTGGTCACACCACCGAGCAGTTTTTTTAACTCCCCATCTTTGCGGATGGCCAGTCCCATGTGAAAAGTGGTGACATGTATCTTCTTCCTACTACGGAGACTCCAGCTCCGATACGGCCAGCGTATTCACCCTTACGTAAAAGACGATGCAAACGACCACAGCCTGGCAACTGAAGGCCAGAGCTAGCATCTCAAGTCTAGCTTTAGCACGAGAATTCCCACCTTTTCCGCGACGACTCATGGTTAGAAGTTATGGCAGACAGAACGACTGTCTCGTACTCCCTGATTTTCGCTAGTGTTCCCTAAATGATATCTCCTAGTGATGTCACTTGAAATCAATGAAATTATCTTCAAATAAACTCTTGAAAACTATTCACTAGAATTAAGAAAGTTGTCTTTCCTTATAACCAAAGATCTCTAACGATTGGAGATGGTGGTGTTGTTGTGTTCATCGTAGCAATTAACTGACGATATGCAAGAATTCTAACTTAGGCCAACAACCTTATGATATCTAATTGTCTTAAAAGACTTTAACGCATTGATTTCATGCCAGCTGTTTAACAAGCGGGGAGAGCAATCACACTACCAAAGACTTTCGCATCTTTTAGAGGCAGGTTTCTTCAAATGTAAGCAGATTTGTGGTGACAAATCGTCCTTTTTTTACTATTCATCCGATGCATATGGTTTTGTCCATTTGATGACCCACATACGAAAACAGATTCCACTACAGAGTATGAAGAGATTGGAGAGTTTCATTGTATGGCTGCATCTCTGAATTCTAGGCAATATAGATGGAAGTATACAAAGATAATGTTTCCAAATCCGGACTTAGACAAAACAATAAAATGAGTAGAGAAATATGCATTCCTTTCCAATGACTTCCTCATCATCTCCTGGCTCTACTCTAATATATATATATATATATTTGTTTGACACCGAAACTGTGTCGATCATGTGGTCATTTTTATACATGTGTAGAACTTGGGCACTGTGGTAGTAAGTAATTTCATATTAGTTTGTTTATTAGATGTATCACACAGTGAGTGTAACAGTATTATTAAGTGGATGACACAGTTTCGAACACAATTTATTGATTGTTCATAATCATTTCATCAATTATAATCACACAACTTCGAAACTTCAGTTTCATAGTTTTTTTGTTCTCTCCTATTTGTCGTCGTTGGGGTAGTAGAATTTTCCAGATATACGGATGCTGAGGTGTTGAATCACTTCTATTACATGGATTCTCTGCAGTTGATTCGATAAACAAAGCTTCTGTTATCAGTCTCTCCCTCCATTCACCCTGTGACATTAGATTTTAAAACTGTCATCTCATCTTATCCCATCCTATTGTATGGTTGTGTGTAACTGCATGTAGTCAGTGATAGTGATAATAATAATATTATTGACGACATGCATGTCAAATATGCGGAAGACAACACCAACAATAAGGAACCTAAATCATCAGTACAAATAAGGAACCTCAGAAACCTTACGCAGAATTCTTAACAAGGCATGCAGGAATAAAAGTGGCTGGCATTCAAACCCCCCACAAACTCAATTAGAAACAAGCTTTGTCGGTTAATGGATCCTGCCAGTGGAGCCTTTAAAACACAACAATTTAGTTTATCTCATACCCTGCCTGCAATGGTTGTCAGGTCAAATACATAGGTCATGCTAGTAGAACAGGCTCAGTCAGTCAGACTAGCCGAGCACAGAAACCTAGCAAAATCTAGATTGGTTGACTCGAATAAGATAAGAAATCTTGAGAATAGTTCAGCTATACCACTCACTACATGTAATTACACAATACCGTACAATACGACGGGATGGGTTAAGATGACAGTTTTAAAATATAATGTTACAGGGTGGAGGGTGAGACTGATAACGGAAGCTTTGTTTATCGAGTCGACTGCAAACCAACACATGCAATAGGAATGATTCAACACCTGTCCAGCTGGACATCTGGAAAATTCTACTACCCCTACAACGAAAAATAGGAGAGAGGAGAAGGAAAACTATAAAACCCAAGTTTCGAAGTCGTGTGATTATAATTGATGAAATGATTATGAAAAATGAATAAATTATGTTCGAAACTGTGTCATTCAGCAAATACTAATACTGTTACACTCACTGTGTGATACATCTAATAAACAAACTAATATAGGGAATTACTTACTGCCACAGTGCTCAAGTTTTACACGCATATTAATGAGAACGAAATGCACCTCGTAGGATTTTTTCAATACTAGACAGCACACATCTACTACTATCAAATAGGATAACTTCCCTTATTGTTTCCAGAACTAATCTCCCACTTTCAAAATGTTTCATTTTAGTGTGGACCATACTTTAAAGTTAGTGGACTGCAGTTGGATGGTGGAATCATGTATACGTGTTTGGATGGATTACCTATTAAAGAGCAGTATGGACCTTCAGCTCTCATCACGAATGGTTTTATAGGCATTAATAAAACTAATACAACGGTAAGTAAAATAATTTTACTTGACCGATGAATTTTGATGTGAATTTCTTACTGAGATTGTGTTATTAATCGATGACAGTGAATGAGAACGCTGTCATTGTTATTACTATTATTGTTATTATTATTATTATAATTCTTTTGTGTTCCAAGGGAACAATTATGTTTCAGAAAATTAAAACAATTAGTCCCTTTGATAAATTTGAATAAGGCATTAAGAAGACAAATTTCGCGAGATTATAGTGTCATTTCGTACTTTCTTTACAACTAACATGGTTAACAATAATAAAATAAAAGGCATGACAATTACTCAGTTAAATAAAAAACAAAAGTAAATACTAATGACCAGTCACATTTAAATGGTTGTGTAGTCCATGGTAGGCGAAGATTGTACGCACAGTTTAATCATATTCATCCAAATATCCGAGTGACTTCCGAACTCGAGTCGAATAACAAACTCGGTTTCCTCGATATTACAGTGACCAGGAGAGATGATGGTACGATTCAGAGATCTATCTTTCGTAAACAGACATGGAGTGGACAATATCTTCATTTTACCAGTTTTGTTCCTTACCAGTATAAACGTTTCCTAGTGAAATGTTTGTTCTCAAGGGCCCGAAAAATATGCACAAGTGACACAGTGATGGATGAGTTTCGACATATACATTCAGTTTTATTAGCTAATGGTTATGCAGTTGACAGCTCAAAGACTTCGGTCAGCCATCAAACGCACATATTCTACGCCGTATCTATCCTTCTCACTTGCCGAACATTTTCGATCCCTGTACTTACGATTAAAGGACGAAATTCTGTGGACTCTACTTCAAACGGTATCTACAAATTCACCTGCAGTAGAACCAACAGAATGTTCCAATGTGGTCGTCGAAAAGAACATGTTCCAAACTGGTTATTAAAACAAAAAGAAAATCCCAATGCAATTATTAATCTGAATAGAAATCCAGCATCATCCATTGCAAAACACTTATTAATGTCAGGTCACAAAATCAATATTAATGACTATTTCACAATTATTCCACCGAACTCTAATTCAAGGTTATTGAAGGTGATGGAAGCACGTTGGATTAATCACATACAGCCTAAACTGCGTGTACAAAAAACAATAGACTTCAATCTTCGCCTACCATGAACTGACTACTTGACCTATTTAATTAAATGTGATTGGTCATTAGTATGTACTTTTGTGTTTTTATATAACTGAGTAATTATCATGAACTTTATTTTATTATTGTGAACCATGTTAGTTGTAAAGCGGTTGTAAAGAAACTATGAAATGACGATATTATTTGGCGAAATTTGTCTTCTTAATGCCTTATTCAATTTATGTTTCCGCAATTTCAAAATTCCCATTTACGTATTTAGAAAATAAAACTGAGAAGGTGGGGGGTAGGCCCGGGGAAATATACGCCTTTCCACTTTTGTTGCAAAAAGCGTTTGAAAAAACACATGAACTCAACAAGTAAACAGCTGAAGGTACCGATAATTCCCTGAAAATCAGCTTTCCTAAAATTGTATTTCACGGGAGATGTTAATAGTGAGATCATATCACAATTGCTGAGTCAGGGAATTACAACGCAGCTAACCAATTGATACTCAGTCCAAGAAATAAAGACAGACTGCCCTGTTTCACCTCTCCCACATGTATTTAGAAGTTTAACTTCTTGTGTGGAGCTAGCTATATTGGTTGTATGTTCAGGTAAGCTCATTATCGAATTTCTGAACACCTCCGATCTTAACAAATCAGAAGTCAGAGCAGAGCTGCTATACACAGCTCATTAATACTAGCTCGTCTCGTCGATAACAGAAGCTTTGTTTATCGAATCAACTGCAAACCAACACATGTAATAGGAATGATTCAACACCTGTCCACCCGGACATCTGGAAAATTCTACTACCCCAAAGACGAAAAATAGTAGAAAACAAAGAAAACTATAAAACTCAAGTTTCGAAGTAGTGTGGTTGTAATTGATGATATGATTATGAACAGTAAATTGTGTCATCTACTAAATAATACTGTTACACTCACTGTGTGATACATCTAATAAACAAACTATTATGGAATCATTTGAATCTTGTTTTATCATATTTTTTGTTTTTGTTTTCTTGTTTGTGTAAATTTTAGAACTATCATGTGAAAATAACCTTTCTTGGACTATTAGATAAACCATTACCACGTTATGCTTGCTTATATCAACATTTTGATTATAAAAGTTATCCAGCAGAATTAAATACAGTCTGTAAATTTGATTCCACAACTGATAACAGTATGACATGTTTATGTACAAAGCCTGGATTCTATGCCCTGTGTCAGGTAACGCCATTCACTTATACATAGACATACATACACGCACACATCCTATTGTTAATCTCTATTTCCTTTCTTGTTGTCATAATTTCTCAAAAGAGAGAGTTTCGTTCCCACTGAATTAGAGCTGTAGGGCTGATCTTTAATGACATCATGATGGTAGCCACTGACTCAGTATGCTCGTGGTTGTCGTCTAGGCCTAGTGATCTAGTGAAAATTACTGATTGATTCTGGAGTTAACCATTCGGAGAGTCCACTTCTTACAATCAAACTGTTTGATGATATTAGATGGTTGGAGGCAATCGGTCACAGGAAACCCAGCCTTAGACCTACGTTTCGTGCTAGTTGGCACTCATCTGTCAGTCAGCAAGGCGTATCTGTAACCGCCTTGAAGGAAATCATGTCCTCCCCCCACGTCTGAGATTCGAACCCGCGGCGTCACACAGTGAAGCCTGCAGTCAGAGACCTTACCACTGAGTTATTCGGGCTCGCGATTGACTTCCTATAGGACTGTAGTGGATAATTTGGTTTGACACTAGTAACTAGTGTAATTTGCCTAGCTCGTCCTTTCTTTGGTGCAGACTGAATTCTATCTGTCAGGTTTTCAATGTAGCCATCATGCCACACTAGGTAGCTCGCCATCACGGTGCACATTGGTTTGAAGGAATTGGATGGTGGTTGGAGGCAATCGGAAGGAAGCCTTGACTAGACCCAGGTTTCATGCTAGTTGGCACTCGTCAAACCTGATTGATAGAATTCACTCTGCACCAAAGAAAGGACTAGGCACGTCACACTAGTTACTGGTGTCCAATCAAAATCAAACTGTTCTTACATATTCTTTCTATACACTTCTTTGCCATTATCTTTTCATTTATTCGGCAACATAGGCAGCCTACTCGGCTTCGTACATTGATGTTCTCATGCCTATTTTCGCTTTCATCGAGGAAGGAGAGATACACTAACTGACTGGTCTACCTAAGGCTTTCATCAGCGGAGAATAAGCTTTGCTTGGATTTCCTAGTTTCTGTAGAGATTGAGTTCATGACATGGCGTAGAATCACTGGCCTCACGCTTAACCTTCATATCGACCATTCAGCCAATCACTTGGTCGGAAGCTACTAACTCCTGAGTTCAAAATTCAGTCAATTAATGGGAAAGAGCTACTGCCAACCATTGACATTCAGTGTGCACCACTGAGGAGCCCCACTGTATGATGAAACAGCTCCTCGGTCTTCAGGGATTCTCTTAGTGGCATCAGCTTGTGATGCAGTCCACACTGAAATCCAAACTCTGAATGTCGAATCATGCTTACCGAAAACCAAGTGATTTTTATTTCAATATCTTCATAATCTATTCAGGAGGAGGATAATTAGAGAGAACAACTGTGGTTTTACTAAATTATTCAGGCTTTACAATTACAAATCTATTAAGCTGAGCATACAATAGCCCGCCAGTATAGGCAAAGCAGAATTACACCAGAAGGTGTATCATTGTGGGACTGTTATGACCGGAACTAAAACCTATTAGACCATGAGACAATACTAACCTAATGCGCTGGTTAATCCGTCCTAATCGCACGTCAACAGCAACAACAATAATAACACCACCGCACAGCAAAAGACGGAAGAAAAGACAGAACGTTGATAAGACAGCTTTTTACTGTCTCAGACAACAGTTAAAAAAGATTGACAGCGCTTGCATGTATATATATATATATGTTCAAAATGACCTTGAGAGGCACCAGTGTCATTGATAAATTAAACAGTGAACAACCAATAAGATTTCGAAGGTAATAGGTAGGGTAAGAAAAAATTAGATCACAAATCGATAAGTTTCTGGCGAGGGAAATACAAACAGAATGACATGTAGAAAATTTGGCCTATATTATCAGGGACAAGAACAAGATGGACACACAGTGTGGTGAGAACTGTCTGCGAAGAAGCCAAAATTGTAAACAACAATTTACGTCAATGTTTACATACCGAATCGGGGGAATTCAGCAACCATTCACAGCAGACCTAACGTGTGCAAATACGATTCGCAGGTGTATGGCCTGACTTTCTGAGAAACGGCCACGAAAAGATGACAGAATAGCCTTGAGCAAGAAAACAACCAATCAGAAGTCGTTGCTTCTCTGTTAATAATAATGAATAATAATTCAAATGAACTTTCGTCAATATGTGACAGAATAGTTCTAAAATATTTGAGCGCCGAGTGAGAAGTAGACATTTGTAAAAAATTAATTTACAAAATTTCAGCGAGATTGAAATGAGTAATTCCAACGTTTCCTGTGTTCGGCAATCTGGTCCGAACTTATTCAGGGAAATTAATCGAAATTAACATAACAGAGGTTTATATCTAAAAAGGGGGCATCACTTGTTTTTAAAAGCTTTGTCCAATCATGAATCATGAAACAGGTATCAGCGTGTATAATAAACAAAATTTTATGAGCTGTGATCAAAATTTGACCTCGGACCTACAAATATTGGTCTACCTTTGTTAAGCACTTTAGACAGAGTGTGTATGTGTGTGTGGATAAACAGTTGTAAAACATTTCTTAACGTCTCCATAAGAAGATATGGACAGTCGAGAATTTTGACCAAGTATTAATATGTAGTGGTAAATAATTCCCCAAAATTATTGACCACAGCAATCATCACTCAACATTGGATGCTGACCATCACTGTTTAAGTCGACTTGTTTAGCTGAAGGCTTACGGTCAAGCATCCCCGCCATTTGGTGCTCCGTCGTGTCACGTGCGTGCACTATTACTAGCTAGCTAAGCATTCACCTCTACCCGCGATTTTGTCCCGAAATATAATACGTACTTTGGACGACAAAATCTGGTCTTTTGCTTTACCATTTGGTACTCGAAGAACGAACACTATAGAAGTTGTTGGTATAAGATCTTGCGTTAGTATAATCCGTACAATTCACGAACGTCGATACCCGCAGCCTCTAAAAATAATTAGTGATACATATCCACTTTTTATTTATTAATCAGGATTTCCTATGCATCAGCTAACATCACGCCTTCATGTCTGTTCAAACGGTTAGTATCTAGAATCTTATGATTAGGCGTATTTTCGAAATTATGCTGTTTGGGATTAGAGTTTAGTTGAAGCACCCTGTCGAACTTATTGCTTTGTCTTCTTTCTGAAGACTGAGCTGCTTTATTCGACCTACTGGAGTTGTCAGGTGACTCGACAGCTACGGATTTAGGATGTGCATTTTGTTCCAGACAACGAAGAGTGAAAACACGATGATTGCGCCAGTTACACAGTTTCTTTGTTAATTTAATTCGATTGCAAAATAATTCAAATGAACTGTCGTCAAGATTTCACCGAATAGTTCTAAAATATTCTGGTGCCGAGTGAGAAGTAGGCATTTGTAAAAAGAAATTATATTTGTAAAATCTGAGCGAGATTGAAATGAGTAATTCCAGCACTCTGTTTAAAGTGTTTTTAACAAAGGTAAACTAATATTTGTAAGTCCGAGGTCAAATTTTGATCACAGCACATACAATTTTGTTTATTATACAACATGTTGATACCTGTTTCATGACTCATATGATTGGACAAAGTTTTTAAAAACAAGAGATGCACCCTTTTTAAATATAAACCTGTTATGTTAATTTCGATTAATTTCCCTGAATAAGTTCTGACCAGATTGCCGAACACAGGAAAAGTTGGAATTACTCATTTCAATCTCGCTGAGATTTTACGAATATAATTTTTTTGCAAACGAATAATAATGTACATAAAAATCTATAAATATCTGTTGATTTTCTCAACATAAACGATCTGTTGCCTGGTCCTTATCTTCTGTCGTCACAATATATGTTTGAATATTGTCTGAAATAAAGTTTTACTTATGTTATTATTATTATTGTCATTAAATAATTGCCTAGAGTAAGATCAAAATGGTTTTGAAAAGACAGTGAACTTCTGTGGCATAGAAGATTGCAGACTAACTTCTAGTAGAATTAGATTTCATATCTTTTCATTCATTTTTCCATTTGGTCTTGTTATTTTTTTGTTGCTATTTTCACAGATTGAGTATACAAGTATGATATGGCGTCCGAAGAATAAATTAAATAATTATTCAATTATACTTTTACATGCAACGGTCATAATTACAATGAGTGTTTTGATGTTAATTATACTGCATATTCGATGGTAGGTCCTTCTTTATTTTCTGCATTGTTGGGGTAATAATAGTAGCTATTATGTATATCTAATTTTTTCCTTCGGTTTCATTTGGGACGTGGAGCTTCGGAAGTACATCTGTGGGACGCTGATTTCTCACTGATATCACTCCACCATCACTGTCGACAAGCTTTCATCTACCCATCATATTATCATCTTATCTGTGTCATTCTTCCAGTCACGACTAACTCATCGCTTCTCACTTTGAATTTCACTCGACAGTTGGGTATGTGACATCAGCAGAGGGTAATATGTTGTTGTTTTGTTTGTTCACCGAAATAATTCCATGTTTCCGATATTCGTTATTGAACGAAGAAAGCAGCTCTTGATGAATGTCTATTGCCTGTTAGAAACGATCTCCGTAGAGCACCGTATTATTATTGTTTCCTTTAGCTCCTAGAAGAATAATGGGGCTTCAGCCGTGCGTCTCCATTGCGTTCGGTTCTCTGCCAACATTTTCACCTGGCTACACGTCTGCCTAAATGCTTTCGCCTCATCTTCACATCACCTCCGCTTCCATATCACCCTCGCACTGACGACCAACTCGCTGCTTCCCATTCCATTGGGATTCCACTCGACCAATGGCCTGGCATGTGATGTCATCCACTTGATGGTGTGTTTTCTCAGAGTATGGCTAGCCAATCCCCTTCTGTTTCTTCTTGTATATTTGTTGCAAACTCAGTTCTTGCTGGGTTGGTTCTTTCACTGCCAGAGATCCCTCCCTGTTGCTGATCTTTTCTGGCTGGCCATCTGATCTTGAGTAGTATTGAGGGAAGACAGTTAGCTGTTGATGAAGGTCTGCAGTTTGTTCAAAGTGCCCCTCATGACACAGCGCTAAGTCTCTGATCCGTATAGTAAGTAGCACTGACTAACTTCACATTGGAGTTGAAAGTGCGAATCTCATTTTTTTCATGCTTAGTGTTGAGTGTTGATCTCCACACAGACGTGAGAGTAATAAAAGCTTGCCTTGCTTTTTTCATCCTCGCGCTTTGATATCTTCATCAATTCCGTCCGTCTGTAGTTGAAACAATGCTTCCCAGGTGGGTAGGTGAAGGAGGTTGCTTCTTTCAGATTTCTCCGATATATGCTAGCTGATTGTTGTGTGTTGTTGTTACTGATGCTGTTGGCCAGGAATCTTCATCACTTCTGTTTTCTCTATGTTCATCGTAATGCACTGAATTGATATCAGTGTCAAAGAGAATTCGGATCTTGTTTCCCATACTGAGTGTTGTTAATCTCCCATAATGATTTGAGATTAACCAACGTTTGTCTTGGATTCACAAACCAATTTTAACTGGCTCTAATATCCTAACATCTATGCCATCACCTGTAGCTCAGATGATACTGCTCACGTTGAGTAAATGAAATTGACAACTTTACCTACATTCCTACAAATGAAAGTTGATTATCTTAATCACCTTTGTTTTCTCTGTGTTCACTTGAAATTTGGTCTTTGCTGCCTCATCTGAAACCTTGTTGGTTTCCGCCTGCAGATCTTTTGATTTCATATAAGACGAAACGTAAATCACTCACAAATTCCAGGTTGCTGAGAGCCTTTCCATCGGACCAACGTAATCTTCTCTCTTTTCACTCCCCATGATCTGTTGCATGAACCAGTAGGCCACAATGAAGAAAGAACATCATCGGCGATATTAAGCAGCCTTGGCTTACTTATTATTTCATTTTAAAGGCTTTCCAGAGATTTCGGTTGTGAATCACTTCACATGTGGCATCATCACCTGGCAACTGAACAAAGTTTGCAAAGGTTTGTGGCACTCCTTAGTGTTGACGCTACTTGGGTCAGATATATGGAAAGCACAACTTCCACCATGTTTCTGCAATTTTCAGTGATTAGCACTTGCTGTTGTTGTTGGTGGTGGTTGGGTGTCTTCATTAACTCCATATTCTCCGTGTCTTCGCTTAATAGTCAAGATCAGATGGCCAGAAAACATCAGCAATAGGGATATCTGAGAGCAAACCAACCAGGTACCGAATGTGAAACAAATAGGCAGGAAGAAATGGAGATGGATTGGCTGGCCATACTCTGAGGAAACCATCAAGTGACATCACTAGACAAGTCATTGCTCGAATGGAACCCGAAAGGGAAGCGGTGAGTTGGTCGTTAGTGCAAGGGTGACTTGGAGGAGGTCATGTGAAGAGGAGATGAAAACGTGTGGGCAGACTTGGAACCAGGTAAAGACTCTAACAGAGAACCGAACACAGTGGAGACGCGCGGCTGAAGCCCTATGTCCCTCTACGAATTAAAGGAAACAATAATATAATAATCTCTATGTTAAACTGACTGGGACTAACAATTTCCAAGTAATGTGGGTGTATAGTGACTGTCGGCGGAATCCAGGATGCTCCATATCATTTCAAACGTCAACTCGTCATCCACCAGACCGCTGGGGCCACGATAGTCACCTCTTTTGCATGAGGTAAAGCTTTTGCCTCTGAAATGATGGGTATTGGGTTTGAGCGTCAATGGAAACAAGGTCATCACTGACTGGAGAATACAGGCACATCAAGCTGACGAGTCCCGCGTGGGATAAAATGCTCGTTATCCTGGAGTACACCACTGCTAGTCACCATCCACCAAATTACTTCAAGTTACTTAAATAATCAAACATCTTCGAAGCATCCGCACAAGCAGCCGAAATGTCAACTTGAGGGTGAATACTTCGGTCAAGTCAATCAACAGGAATGATATTGTTGGTATTCCTGATCACAGTGGTTACGTCAGTGTTCGCTTGCAGCCATCTGATTGATTTCAAGATCGATCACTATCTAACTTCAGTTAGAGAACAACTGAAAACCACTAGGGAGTAGTGGACTGCTGTCTCGTCCTTGTTTGGGACCCTTCATCAGTACGCATCCTGAAGGTAGGTGACCAGCGAAGTCCACCAAAATGGTTATGGAGATAAATCATCGACGATAACGTTGGCCACTGGTTGTCTTATATCGAATCAATAAGACAATGGATGTCAACTCGCCTTGGAACTTGAAGCCCCCGGGGTTTGGATGTGATTGCGCACAGCTTAAGAGTCTCGAATGAAGACGAAGTAATTTCACAGTTGTTGGATTTCGTTGTGAGCAAACTTTTGTTATAGAGATCATTGAAAATAAATCCAAATCCCCGCAAATCCTGTAACCTAAATATGAATCTCCAGCTGACTGACGACTACTGGACTGATGTCCTGAAACTTTAGTATTAAGCCATAGCCAGTGAGGTACACCACCCAAAGGTGAAGTGGAGGGTCACTGAAGTTATAGCTACGGGTAGCCATAGATCACCAATTCACAAAGTTAGACTTCTCATGGGTCACTGAATTTCAGCGCAACTAGCTGCATGGTCAACCTGCTTGATCCTGTAACCTGAAGGTATCAGGTATGACTCGTCTGACACTAGTGTTTACAGGAAACCCACTGACACATTCAAACAGATATTTGGACTTCCGATCATTCCATCCTATGTCGGTAAAAGTTGGATTGGTGAAATGTTTAGGTAATAGAGCACAAAACTAAGTGGTACCAAGGAAAATCTAAGACAGGAAGTGAGGCGTATAAGAGAAGCCTTGAAACTTAATAATTACCCTGATAAATTAATCAGAAAGTATGTCGGGAAATGTAAAAATTAAGCAAATAATGATAGTATTGATGATAATGGTAATAATATTAATAATGATAATAATAACTGTAATAATAATAGTAATATTAATGACGACACGCATGTCAAACATACGCAGGATAATAACAATACCAACAATAGGGAATCTTAATCATCAGTAGTAATTCCATACAAGGAACGAACCTCGGAAACCACCCTACGCAGAATTCTTAACAAGGCAGGAATCAAAGTGGCTGGCATTCAAACCCCCCACAAACTCAATTAGAAACGAGCTTTGTCGGTTACAGGACCAATCCTGTGGAGCCTTTAAAACAAAACAATTTAGTTTATCTAATACCCTACCTGTAATGATTGTCAGCTCAAATACATAGGTCAAACTAGTAGAACAGGGGAAGTCAGTCAGACTAGCCGAGCACAAAAACCTAGCATCAAAATCTAGATTAGTAGATACGAGTTAGATAAGAAATCTAGGGAATAGTTCAGCTATACTACTCACTACATGTAATTAGACACAACCATCCATAAAATGGGATGGGACAGGATGACAGTTTTAAAATCTAATGTCACAGGGTATAGGGAGAGATTGATAACAGAAGCTTTGTTCATCGAATCAACTGCAAACACGTGTAACAGGAGTTATTCAACACCTGTTCAGCCGGACATCTGGAAATTTCTCCTACCCCAACGACGACAAATAGGAGAGAACGAAGAAAACTATAAAACTCAAGTTTCGAAGTTGTGTGATTATAATTGATGAAATGATTATGAGCAGTAATATATTGTGTTCAAAACCTTGTCATCCAGTAAATAGTACTGTTTCACTCACTGTGTGATACATCTAAACAAACTAGTTTAGAATTACTTACTACCACAGTGGCCAAGTTTCACATATATATTAATATCACGTCTGACCCTCTGGTAAAGTCACGTGTGGGTTCCACCGAACAGTTCAAGACAAGGACAAAATAGATGCTCACTACTCCGTAGTTTACAATGGTTCTCTTTAATTTAAGTCAGTTTGTAATGAACCTTGGAGAACGTTTTACTGTCTAAGGAGACATTATTATCAGTGTAACTTTGTATCTAATATATGCAAATATTCATTATACTAAATGTGTGTATCGTGATGTTTTTTAGCTCAGCTGCAGCAAGTAGGATCTATGCAGGTCCAAAGCGAAGGTAGGTCCTATTGTTTTATGATTCTCTATTTCATACCTTCCGTAAATCTGTGAGTACGTAAGATTTACATTTTTCCGCTTGTAGGAAAACTCCGATTACTTTGATTTCCCTTTACTTTACCGCCTTCTTCATTTTGAAGTGAGCTTTCGGATTTCTCCGCCAGTTTATTAGTCGTCTCTACTGGCAACCACCTTGAACGTCTTGACTGGTTGTTTCTGTGTGTTTTCACACCCTCCAGACTACTTGTTTTGGAACTGATTGTTTCCTTGACTTGAACTTTTCCCCTTTGTATGTGAGATTTCCTTCTTATCGGTTGGTAAATTTTGTCTAATATGTGAACGTTATCCCAGTCGAATTGTTGTTCGTGGTTGTCTTTATGCAGTGAGGCGATATGAGGGAGTGGATGTCTTGTGTTTTGATGACGAGCTTATGATCATGGATACGAAGACGAAGGGGACGTTGTTCACTTTGGGCAATGTAGTGTTTTTTGCAGTCGTTGCAACTTATTTCGTAGATAATGTTGGTTTTATCTTTTATCGTTGTTTTATAGAGCCACTACTACCGTTTCGCGACAACGCGGGATAATGTGCTTATTTTTATCGAACGACTATCGAAATAATAGTAATCCTAACTTGTTTTCTGTTTTTACTTTCTTTTTCTTATCATTATTATTGCCATCCTTGTCATCAAAAGAAAAACTTGGCGAAAATATATGTGCTTTTTAGATCTTATCCTTCAACAATTTATTATTTATATATGTATGCTTGGCACTCAACTGAGTGCTATTCGTCATGCAAAGAAAACTAGTTGTCAGGTAAGCATAGTTGCGTACAATACCAATTTGTGTTCATTTTTTAAAATTTTTTATCAATAATATATATCGATTCTGAAGATGTCGATGGATTTTGATGTGATTGCCTTCTTTGAGTTGGATTGTAACGACAGAAGACAAGGGTCAGGCAACAAACAGATCGTTTATTGAGAAAATCAACAGATATTTATAGATTTTTATGTACATAATTATTAGCGTTATTGTTAGCAGAGAAACAACGCCTTCTGATTGGTTGTTTTCTTGCTCAAGGTTATTCTGTCATCTCTTTGTGGCCGTTTCATAGACAGTCCAGTGAAATATGTCCAAACCAAGTTCACTTTTAACAATTTGAAAAAATTTGAGCATTAAGTATACGATATTCATTATAATAAAGGTTTTTTTGTATTTCCCGATGAATGAAAAAACAAAACGATATTGTTGCTTTTACTGACGTTTCGCTATTTATTGCTAATAGCTGCTTTATCAAAGTATTATTAAACCGGAATTTACAAAATCTCAGCCTATATAGGTCAAGTTGAAAGGATATATTGAAAGTTAAAATACCAATGAGGATCACTAAACCAAATAACAAAGGTAATAGTACATCTGTTTTGGTGTCTAAACAAAGTTTACTAACTTGATCATCGTTCGTCTGTCTGGGTGCATTTTTAGTTGTCAAGTTGGTCAATTGGTAAAGATAACAAAATCAAGTGTGGATTGTTGGATTTGATCAGTGTGTAAAATTATAAAAGTAGTGTGTGTTTATAGGTTTCCAGGCCGTAGGTGTTATGAACTTCCGGGAATAATTTGAGCGCCGAGTCAGATTGATTCATTATAAATTATTTTAATTAATCCCAGCGTGTTAAGAAAATCAAAACAAGATTTTTCTGAACGTTTCGCTGTATAAGCCACAGCTTCTTCATCAGATTTGAAAAAATCTGTAGTTTGTGTTTGTTTACATAGTGAAATTGCTTATCACATTCGTGTTGTTTTTGTCACTTCATGGGGGAGGGAGGTGTTGTAAACAGGTCAAATTCTATTTTAGTCCATCACCATTCCTGTCCAGACAATTTGGATTCCATTTGATGCCATGAAGTGCTTCTGATGATATTAGACGTTCTTTGTGATTTCTGAAATGCTTTTTCTGGATGATGATTTCAATATTGTCAAAATCAGTTTTGTGGCCTGATTCTATAGCATGTAGACCACCTATGGCTGATGATTTTTCAAGTTTTTCCAGGTCAATTGGATTTCTCGGTGGTCGAAGAGATGCTCTATGGTGTTCATTTCTTCTGATTTTGATTTCTTTCTGGCGAGGTTTGTCCGATGTATATCGCATCACATTCTAAGCATTTTATTTTATAGACACAATTAGGAAGAGAATCTTTAAGGATTTGATCTTTGATATGGACAAGGTTGCTTTGAAGTGTGTCTGATGTTTTGAAGAAAACTCTGATGTCCATCTTCTCTTCTCATATCGTCTGACGTCTCTGCTCTTTATGGAATGACGACTGTTGATGTCCATTTTTTCGGAATGCGTTTTTGGCCATATTTAATGTCAGTGTTGATTTTGTTGATGAAGTTCTTTGGGTAGTTGTTTTGCTTGAGAGTCTCAGTAATGTTTGATATTTCTTCTTCCTTTCCTTTCTCGTCGATTATCAGAGAGTGTGCTCGTCTAAGAAGACTTGAAACAAATGAAATCTTTGCCCTGATGGGGTGTGATGATTTGAAGTCTAAATATTTATTGGAATGGGTTTTCTTCCTGAATATGGATATGCTAAACTGTCCGTTTTCCTTTCTCTTAACTAGGGAGTCTAGAAATGGTAGTTCACAATAATATCGTTTTGTTTTTCATTCATTGGGAAATACAGAATCCTTTATTATTATTATAATGAGTCCAGTGATATATCTGCGAATCGTATCCGCCCACGCAAAGTCTGTTGTGATTGGTTGTTGAGTTCTTCAACGTTAAGCTTTGTTCTTGTTTATTTTTTCTCATGACCCCGATTCGTTATGCGAACGTAAACGTGAATTGTTGTCTACATTCTTTTTGTCTAGTAGACAGCTCTCACCACAGGATGATTTAATTTAGCGACTTTCACCCACGTAGCATGTTTCTAGGGAATTCCATTAACAACAATGCATGTGGTTGAAGTTCGATTCACGACTTCCAGTCTTCCTCAGAACCTCGACTAGTTCGTTATCCGGAAACAATTAAATCCCTTTAGAGAACCACATTAACGCTAATGAAATGCAATAGGTCGAAACCCTATGCTTTACGTAGGGAAAGCAAATAAATGAAAACAGGGAATTATGAAAAGTTCATCAGAAGAGAAAATTTGAAAGAAATTTTTAAAATTACTGTCATTATTGATATAAGTATAAAACTTGGGCACTGTGGTAGAGCATAACTCCATTATGCATAAGATTTTATTTTAATAAATCACACAGTGTTGTACAATAATATTTATTGATGACCCTTTGAGCACAATTTATTGCTCATAGTCATATCAAGGTACTCACACAACTTTCTAGCTTCGCTTATATAATTCCGAGAAAATAAGTAATTTAGAAAAAATGCTCAGCGTTTGCATTGCATGGGAGTGGGTTAAAATTCTAAGAAGTTAAATAGATAGTTGGAGAGAGAGGTTGGTTACTGAATCCTTGTTCATCGAATCTACACCCAAGAACTGCAAAAGGAATGTCTCATCACTCACACAGGAAATATGGAAAATACTACTGTGGTGAGAGCTGTCTGCTAGCCAAAACTGGTAGACAGCAATTTACGTCGATGTTTAATTCCCATATCTTGATCATGAGATAAAACCAAGATCAATGCCTAACCTTGAGGAATTCAACAACCAATCACAGCAGACTTAGCGTGGGCGGATACGATTCGCAGATAAATGGCCTGACTTTGTAAGAAATGACCACAAAGAGATGACAGAATAACCTTGAGTGAGAAAACAACCAATCAGAAGACTTAGCTTCTCTGCTAACAATAACGCTAATAATAATGTACATAAAAATCTATAAATATCTGTTGATTTTCTCAATAAACGATCTGTTTGTTGCCTGCTCCTTGTCTTCTGTCGTTACACTACCACCAATCATATCAAGCGATGAAAAATAATGGGATTATATGAACGAAGTTAGAAAATTGTGCGGGTACCTTGATATGACTATGAGCAGTGGTATATTGTGCTCGAAAGGTCATCAATAAATACTACTGTATAACACTGTGAGATTTTATCAAAATAAATTTTACCTATAATAGAAGTATTAGGCGATAAGTTTCAAATTGTGTCGAAACAGTTTTCCGGTACTGCCCAGTCGGTTTCCCAATGGTTCTGTAATTAATAACAGCTCGTAATCAAATCTGTAACCACTATTTGAATCTCCGCAAAGGAACACTTGATAAGTAACACATGATGCTCACTAGTGACTGGCTATATACAGGAAGTTATGTGAAGTTCTACAGAGCAGTCAGTAGTGACCAGTGGGTTCTAAAAAGTTAGGCAAGAGAACAGCTACCACCAACCGAAAACGTTGGCTGCTGGTGGTTGTACTGCATATATTACGAATGGCAAAGTTAAACTTTAAGCACCACCAACTACCATCAATCAGCGAATGACCCTGAACGCACCAGTCATATGAAGGATGCATTTTTATGTGTGGAATACATATATTTATGGGGAAAAATACCTAAAAACTGCATAAAAGTGTTACATAGGGTATCTTTCTCTGACATGTGATAAAAACATCTCCCAGTTTAGCATAGAAGTATCAACTGGAAAGTTGCACCACATCCTATACGCATATTTTTTCATCTAAATGACTATAAATGACATCCTTTTGAGATCCTTTCATGGCTCTAATCCTGTTTTTTAACAATCCCTAAAAGCCTTCGATAGAACTGGTGTGGATCCCTGTAATAGGACTTTCTGGCTGCTATCCTCTTGACGAGTCCTTTCCGTAGAGTGGTATCATATAAACAAATCACCCATACATTATTCACTCGTTCTTGACTTCGCTTGTAATTCTTCTGTAATAAGACAGATCCATCTACATATACGATGACACCTTCTCCTCCCAATAAGGAAGTAAACCTCCCCATTTTCCAGAGTGTGATGTCCCTGCAGTGCTGGTAACATCGAACTGTTGATGCGAAGCTACTTTAAGTTTCAGAAGCTGCACCTCTCACAGGCTATTTTAAAACCCAGTAATTACAAATGTACAAAATGTGGGTTAAGGATAGGTGGAAGCTGGCAAAAAATGTTCCTACAAAATATTAAAATCATCAGCTTACCTTCTCTGACTCTATCTAACTCGTCTCAAACAAATAGCACAACGATGGACATATCCATCAGTCGACTTTGCTGAAGCTTTTTATGCTCATGACACCTCCACAAGAACAAATCCTTTCCTTCCTAAGCAACCACATATACAAGCAATACTGGAAAACTTTATCCTCACCCAATTGCAAACGGGACTGTGGCGCGTTGGTGGCACAGCGATAGAATGCTCACCGACCATACATTTGGTCTGGGGTTCGATCCTCGTCCGCCAACGCATTCCTTTACCTCGCTAAGCCAGTATTAAGACTATTAAAGAGGGAAGGTTGGGCTTGAGGCTGGCTAGCAAACCCATCCCGTAAAAATAAACACCACTGCTACAGAAACTTCAAGTCTTTAGCTTGAAGCCCTATGTTCCACTAGGAACATAAAGGAATAAAAAAACGCAACTATGCTAGAGTAGGTATTTGACTCGAATCAAGCTGAACAGATGTTCAACTCACGTGGATAAATCTCATTGGACCGTTCAAGGTCAGCGGGCGGAAGCACTCCATTGTTAGTTAATAGTGCTTAAAGTCTAACTTGGCCTAACGAAATGACAGAAGTTTGAATTCATGCAGCATTGAATCGGGTCCCATCGAGTGAATGTTCAGCGACCTGCCATGTAACCTGAGACTGCTGGATTCCATCCCTGGTGGGGTCATGGGTGAGTACTGCTAAAGAATTCCATATTAGAATGAAACAATTGTCCAGTGATTTGTGGTTTTCAGTGGTCTCTCTGAAGGTGATGTTTATCCTTGATAAAATCCACACTACATTTAATTCGAATCCTTATAAAAAAAACTCATAATATAAATTTCACTTTTACCCTTAATTATAATTTTGTAAAATCTTTTTTTCATAGTTACTATGGGCTATCAGTGGTGGATGTTATTGGATATCAGGATTACTCAATTTAGTTCATTCCATTATCACTTTCTCAGCAATAAGAAGTTATAATCTATACAGATTATGTATTAAATTGACAATTGTCACTTATGGTGAGTTTTTGTTTTGTGATAACGGTCATCAAAAAGGTGTGTTGGGGGGGTAATAGAATGTAATATTAAGCAAAGGAATATTGTAATTTAATTGGTAGATGGTGACTAGCAGTGGTGGAATCCAGGATAACGCACATTTCGTCCTATTTGCGACTCGTCATCTGGACGTACCTAAATCTAAAATTCGATTAAATAATTAATATGACCCACTGTACAAGAGATGGCTCTCGTGGCTCAAGTGGTCTAGTATATAACGCTTTGGCGTTTGAAACTATGGGCACTGACTTAATATGAGAGATAGGACGGAAACAACTATAGTCAAAGACACCTAGTCTTCTCACAACTTCCACTTTCAATGATCACATCTCAGAACCACAAAGGAAGAAAGAGCAATCCAGTGCTGTGCAGTACACACGTCGTTTGACTGATAGTCAGCCAGGTATCACATCTAATGAGCTAGAGATGACGCCAGTTAACAAATACCACACTACTGTTTTGTATCTTGTAGAGTAAGTTAAATCGACCGTTGCTCTAGGAACTTGATTTTTCGTGCCCGCCGGGGAACACCTATCAGTATGGCTAAATAAAGGTGTAGTAAAATTCATCAACAGTTTCATATTGGATCACCTGGTCCAAACCCGACGGCCACAAAGCCGCCAGCATTGAAGAATCCTTCTCTATCGTCATCTACCGGGTACCAAATATATTGCCGAAAACATCGAGGTACCACATGCTCCAAACAACAGAGGCTATCGTGATTCGTGTGAAACAACCAGTGCTTTATGTGAAAAGGAAGGAAGTCCAGATACTACTACTGCCCTAGCTAGCCTTCAAACGAGAGTATAAATTTATGAGTTTCCATTATTGTCTTTCTTAAATTTTTCTGACATTGATTCGATGTCATTTAAAAAATATTATTGTTGTTAATAACACTAATTCATTCATTCACTATTATGTGTATATAACTGTAAAATCTGATGATGAAGGCGTTGTCGTTCCATATTATTTTCTTTATTAGATATATCACACACTGAGTGAAACAGTATCATTTACTGGATGACACAGTTTCGAACACAATTTATTACTGTTCATAATCATATCAATTATAATCACACGACTTCGAAACTTGAGTTTTATAGTTTTCTTTGTTCTCTCCTATTTATCATCGTAGGGGTAGTAGAATTTTCCAGATATCTGCGTGGACAGGTGTTGAATCATTCCTATTACACGTGTTGGTTTGCACTTGATTCGATAAACAAAGCTTCTGTTATAAATCTCTCCCTCTACCCTGCTGTAACATTAGATTTCAAAACTGACATCTTATCTCAACCCCTCCTATTGTGTGGTTGTGTGTGATTGCATGTGGTGAATGGTATAGCTGAACTATTCTCTAGATTTCTTGTCTTATTCGGGTCAACCAATCTAGGTTTTGCTTATAGGTTTTTATGCTCGGCTAGTCTAACTGACTGCCCCTGTTATACTAGTTTGACTTATGTATTTGACCTGACAATCATTCCAGCAGGATATTAGATAAACCAAATTGTTTTGTTTTAAAGGCTCAGTAGGATTGATCCTTTAACCGACAAAGCTTGTTTCTAATTGAGTTTGTGGGTGACTGAATGCCGGCCACTTTTATTCCTGCCTTGTTAAGAATTTTGCTTAAGGTGGTTTCCGAGGTTCCTTCCCTGTATTGAATTACTACTGATGACTTAGATTCCTTATTGTTGGTGTTGTCTTGCGTATATTCGACATGCATGTCGTCATTAATATTATTATTACTATTATTGTTATCACTATCATTACTATCATTATTTATTTTATCCGATCATCCCATCGTATATCAGTGAAAATAGGATTGGTGAAATGCTTAAGTGACAAACTAAGTAGTACCAAGGAAAATCTAAGACAGGAAGTGATACATATAAGAGAAGCCTTGAAACTTAATAATTACCCCGATAAATTAGTCAGGAAATATGTAAACTATAAAACTCAAGTGTCAAAGTCGTGTGATTACAATTGATATGATTATGAACAATAAATGTTGTGTCGAAACTTTGTCATCCAGTAAATAATACTGTTACACTCACTGTGTGATGCATCTAATAAACAAACTAATATGGAATAATTACTACCATAATGCCCATGTTTTACACATATATTAAGAATGCCATGTCGAAAAGTGTACTATTTGTTCAGTAACCACTCCTTCAAAAAATAAGTTACATGGTCCACACTCTCTGCCACTTGACTCCCTATCTTCAATATATACCTTTAATGCCTAATTCAGTGCTAGTATAGTATCACTTTACATTCGATGTGATAGAGTCGCACATCAGACTTCCAAAGATGAATTAATCTGTTCAAAATGTTCAGAAGACTCTGAATAATGTCAGTGCCTACACTGAGGATAAATTGCCTACAACTACTTAGCATTAATCTTTGTTATAAATGTATATATATATATATATATTATAAGCATTTTATTACCATTTTTATTCTCTTGTAAGTGGTTGTTTTTATTTTTATTTTCTATGCATTTCATGACAAATTTAAATCTCATTTTTTGAAAATAAAACATTAAAAACAAAAAAAATCACGCAGCAATTGGTATAATGATAGTCGCTTCTTTCTATGCTACTGTCTTACACCATGATACAACGGCGAAGTAAGTGAATCGATCTCCTGTTTCCACTTTGTCGTTGTCGTGTTCTTCTCCTTCAGTCATCTTTGTTATTTTATTCAATAGTTTTATTTACTTTATAAAAAGCGGTGATATGTAGTGTTATTTTCTCTGAGAAGCCTTAATACTTTCCCTGGGACACTATCCCGTATATATGCGAACTGGTAGTTTTCGAGAAGATTCGACAGCTTAAGTATTAGTGGAAAAGTTAAATTTCCGAAGCGAGCGACTAAGAGGTACTGTAATTTCAATCGTTACTTAGTGTATATACCACAACATTGGGTCGATCAATATAGTGAAAATCCGATTGGTTGATTATTGCATAGACTTTGCACATATGTGCGGCAGTTCAAGTCGCCACCCTCCATGTAGCACACAGAACAACAGAAGAAAGTGGGAGAAATGCATAATATAGACAGTGAACAGAGGTGTGAGACAAAGGAATAGTAACAACGAAGAATAATATAGTTTCATTGGAAATCATAAGTCACAAGGAGCGGATGCATCTGCGCCAGCCATTGAGAACGATGAGTTTGAGCCACATCACCGATTTTTTCCAGCCATTGATGTTTACCGTCCCAAGGACCCCAACCAGTCAGGAAGTCTATACCTTTCTACGTGGCTTAGACTAACTGTTGTGGATTTCACCGACTGGTGAGGCCATGTTTTAGTTTGACCACCGCTAGCTCTTTTCCAGCCTGACCCTATGTCAGCTAACATTGCCCATCGAAGAAAGCGATAACTAGGCAAACGTAACACATGTCCTAACCATCTCAATCAGTGTAACTTCACAGCCCCGTCGATTGATTTCCCCCCGCCACCTACTTACCACTCGACCGATGCCTAACCTCAATATTGCTCACCTTATCAAACCACTTCACGCGGGAGATAGAACGCAAGCACCTATGATCAAAGACAGCTAGCTAGCCTTTTCATGTCTTCCACTCTCAATGGCCAGGTCTCACAGCTAGACATAAAGGAGAATGGAACGGACTGATGAGCAGTACACACGCCCTTTGGTCGATAGTCAGATATCACGTCTGCACATGAATATTTATGCGTCTATCAATATATGCATAAAGCTATAATTACTACTGTTTATGAAATAATAGAGAAGATTTGTAGCTCAGGTGGATGATTTGCAATTAGTAGTTTTCTCTGAGCTGGTTGGCTTAGTTGCGGCGGAGCATTCGTCGTCCCCCCTGTATGGACAACATCCCCTTTCAGAGCAATTTTTAGCATAAAGTGAAGAAGTGATTTAAATTTTGTTCCATGAGTGATACAATTGCGTCTCCCGGTAGCCATCTTTACATCTACATTGACCATTTTCTGCCGACAAAATCCCATTTTCAGATGTCTTAATCAGGAGAACTAACATAGGAAATTTAGATATCCTCCAAGATTTATCGAGAAAAACATTAAGTTAAGGGAAAAGGCTGAAAGCACCCAAACGGTGCCGAAGACACTGCTATTTATGAATGTTGAATTTAAAGGTGACACCGCAGCTGAGATCCTGAAGAATCGCTGCTTATGCAGATCATTGAGGAAAGCCTTCTTTATGGCTGAGCTACGTATCAATTTCTACAGCCGACAAATGATCAACGGATGTGTGAGGGATAAACTGACGCTTTGGACAGGCCACCTCAATATGTGTTTATAATTTAACCTGCTCATGTAGAGCTAGTTATATTGGCCGCACAAAGCTTACACTTTCTAAACGCATCTCTGAACATTATCCGGCATGGTTAGCAAAAGGACAATGTTGTAAGACAGTTACTAGCTGGATTCTCGAGCACTTGATGAACTCAAGCCACGTATCTCCACCAAAGTTGTCTTTCTAGATCATCTACAAAGTGAGGCCAAATGGTACAAAGGGTGTCAGGTTTCGGCTCTTTTGTGTATGGTGGAGGCGCTGGCAATTCATCAATACAACCCTGAACTCTGTATACAGAAAAAGTTTGTCCAGTCTTTTATTCTGCCTTGGTTTTAACCTCTTCACTAGTAGTTCCTTGTAGAAAAATTTTGATTTTTTCTTTTCCTTTTTTAATTCTACTTTAACTTTGCTTTTGCTTTAATAATTAATTCACTACTATCACTCTCATATGTTCCTTTTGTACGTTTTCTCACTATCTCCACACTTGTTAAATTGACACCCAACTACCTTTATTCTGACTCAATAGCAATTTTAACCTTATCAAATTTCCAACTTTGTGCCGTTGAGTGCCACGTAATTTACAACTTTTAATTTTCCCTTCTAAAACCACTTCTCAGTAATTATATCAATTATGTCACCCCCTATTACTCAATAATAGTGTAAATACGAATGTACAGCCAGCCTCTGAAGATGATTTCGTCGATAAAGAAAATTTTCTTCGCTGAACCTATCTTTTATTTTCTTCAAATTTAGAAACACAAGTATATGGAAAGTCAACATGCACACACACACACAGATCAAATACTCAACTATCTTAGTAGCAACCCGATTACTCACAAAAGAAACTGTGTGCAGACATTGTTCAAAAGAGAGTTCAAACACACACACTGTAGCACTCCAGCGTTGAAAAGAATGGCAAAAGAAAAATACCTGCCTACCAGGCGACCGTCTTCAAAAACAATGGATAGATATCCACACAATTTGAGTATGAAGCTCAGCGTGGATTATGCCTAGCTTTGGTTTTGAGGCTTCCGGGTGGTATCGCCACCCGAACATACAAACTACGAGATTTTGTATGGCGCACATAATTGGTACACATAATGCTCCAATTGTGTTCTTTTGTATTTTAATAATTTATTACTGTTATATATGTCCAAACCAAGTTCACTTTTAACAGTTTGAAAAAATTTGGGCATTGGGTATATGATATTCATTATAATAAAGGCTTTTGTATTTCCCAATGAATGAAAAACAAAACGATGTTGTTTTTACTGACGTTTCGCTATTTAATGCTAATAGATGCTCTATCAAAGATTCTCTATCTAATTGTGTCTATAAAGTAAAATGCTTGGGATGTGATGCGATATACATCGAACAAACATCGCCAGGGAGAAATCAAAATCAGAAGAAATGAACACTGTAGAGCCACCTCTGTTCGACCACCGAGAAATCCAATTGAACTGGAAAAACTTGAAAAATCATCAGCCATAGGTCTACACGTTATAGAATCAGGTCACAAATTTGATTTTGACAATATTGAAATCATTATCCAGAAAAAGCATTTCAGAAATCACAAAGAACGTCTAATATCAGAAACACTTCATATCATCAAGTGGAATCCAAATTGTCAGAATAGGAATGACGGAATAAAACAGAATCTGACCTGGTTACAACACCTCCCTCCCCCATGAAGTGACAAAATCAACACGAATGTGATATGCAACTTCACTATGTAAACAGACTCTGCTTTTATAATTTTAAACACTGATCAAATCCAACAATCTACACTTGATTTTGTTATCTTTACCAACTTGACAACGAAAACTGACCTCATACTGACGAACGATGATCAAGTCAGTAAACTTTGTTTTGATACCATAGCAGATGTACTGTTGTGGTGAGAGCTGGCTGCTAGCCAAAGTTGGTAGACAGTAATTGACGTCAATGTTTATGTCCCCAATATTGGTGGTGAGAAAATGAGAACAAAGGCTTTGCGTAAGCGGATACAGTTGGCATATGGATGATCTGACACAGCCACAAAGAGATGCAAGGTTAACTTTCTGTGAGAAACAACCAATCAAAAGACTACATTTTCTACTAACAATAATCTACAAATAATGTACACTAAAATCTATAAATATGTGTTGATTTTCCTTAATAAACGATCTGTTGCCTGGCCCTTGTCTTCTGTTGTTACACTGTTACCTTTGTTATTTGGTTTAGTGATATTCATTGTTATTTTGACTTTCAATATGTCCTTTTAACTTGACCTAAGTTTATATTCTCATCTCTTAACTCTTTGTTATATATATGCTGAGATTTTGTAAATTCCGGTTTAATAATACTACTTTGATAAAGCTATTAGCAGCAGCATTAAATAGCAAAACGTCAGTAAAAACAATAATATCGTTTTGTTTTTCATTCATTAGGAAATACAAAAACTTTTATTATTTATTACTGTTGTTATTACAAGTAGTGCATAAAGTCTATAAAAAATCTATATCTCTATTTCAGCTGTTTACCAAAAAATCTAAAGTATTTGACTGCTATACCAGTATTATCATTCCATGTAATCAGTTTTATATTCCTCTCAACCTATTGGATATTTCGTCCTTACCATTTTATTGATGAATGGATTGGAAATTTTATAAATACAGTGACTGGTTTCGTGCTATGGATACCATTAGCAACAATGGATTCATCGAACGATTCTTCTTTGCATTATGATGTCACATTAACTATGCTTAATATAATAAGAGTGAGTTGATATATATATATATATGTTTCTTTATATCATTATTGATAATACTTATAATTAAATTCAAAAGTCTGGATAATTTACATTGATGATACATTTGTAATAATTATTAAAAGAAATGTACTTGCATCGGTGACCGCCTTTTTTGGTCGACCGAGGGAGAGGGCTGTCCAGCGGCTGCGCCACAGGATGATCCTGCATGCCGGTCTCGTCTCACAAGAGACAGGGATGGGTGTGTTTGGTTCTCCTGAAAACCAATACCTATTCAATGGGTGTATGATTGTGGGCGTCAGTGGCACAGCGGTTAGGACGCTCGCCGACCATGCACATGGTCCGGGGTTCGATTCCCGGTCGCTAAGCCAGTAATAATGCTGGTAAAGAGGAAAGGTTGGGCTTGAAGCTAGCGATCCCATCCTGTAAAAATAAACACTGCTACAGAAACTTCAAGCCACTAGCTTGAAGGTGCCCTATGTCCCACTGGGGAACGTGAAAGAAAAGAAAAAGAAATGTGATTCAGAATATACCCATAAATTAATAAACAACATATTTCAAGACATTAAATTCACCAAGTGAGAAGAAGAATTAGACGACAACAAAATTGCAGTTTTGGATGTCTTAATCAGGAGAACTAACATAGGAAAGTATGTAGAGAATGAATGCACACACATAGAACAAATACTCAACTATACTAGCAATAACCCTGTTAGCCCACAAAAGAAACTGTGTTTGGACATTCAAATGAACTGTCGTCAAGATTTGACAGAATAGTTCTCAAATATTTGGGTACCGAGTGAGAAGTAGACATTCGTAAAAATATGTTCTTAAAATCTCAGCGAGTGCAATAGAATGCATATCCTAAATCCGTAGCTGTCAAGTCACCTGACAACTCCAGTAGGTCGAATAAAGCAGGTCAATCTTCAGAAAGAAGACAAAGCAATAAGTTCGATAGGGTGCTTCTACTAAACTCTAATCCTAAACACCATAATTTTGAAAATACGTCTAATCATAAAATTCGAGATACTAACAGTTTGAACAGACATGAAGGTATGATGTTAGCTGATTCATAGGAAATTCTTATTAATAAATAAAAATGGATATGTATCACCAATTATTAATACTTGGTCAAAACTCTCGACTGTCCATATCTTCTTATGGAGACGTTAAGAAATGTTTTACAACTGTTTACCCCCCCCCACACACACATACACACTCTGTTTAAAGTGTTTAACAAAAGTAGATCAATATTTGTAGGTCCGAGGTCAAATTTTGATCACATCTCATGCAATTTAGTTTATTATACATGTTGATACCTGTTTCATGACTCATATGATTGGGTAGTTTTTAAAAACAAGAGATGTCCTTTTTATATACAAACCTCTGTTACGTTAATGTTGATTAATTTGCCTGAAGAAGTTCGAAACAGATTGCCGAACGAAACGTTGGAATTACTCATCTCTTTCGCTGAGATTTTGCAAATATAATATTTTGCAGATGTGTTTGGAAATTGTTTAAAAGAGTCCAAACACATTGCAGCACTCCAGATTTGAAAAGAATGGAAGAAAAATACCTATTAACCGTCTTCAAAAAGAATGGTTATTCACACATTTTCATCAAAAAGTGTTTTTTAAAGTTGAATCACAACACCAACAAAAAACCATCAGCAAAGACTACAAGAAAACTCATCCTACCATATATCAGAAAAAATATTTCTGAAATAATAGCTAGAATATTGAAACCATTTGAAATAGATATAGGACATAAGCCAGTCAAATCACTTCATTCGATATTGTGCAAACGGAAAGATCCAACAGAAAAAGGAGATAAAATTAATACCATTTACAAAATAAATTGCATACATGAACTGTAAAAGACATTACATCGGTCAATGAAGTGGGCGTCCCTTTCGAATCAGAATCCAGGAGCACAAATCAGCTGTGAAAAGACATGATATATATTCCCGTTTCATATCAATGCATATAGATAATTATGGTCATCAATTTGATTGGGATAATGTCAAAATTTTAGACAGAAGAAACACCAAAAGTGCAGTCAGGAAATTCCTAGAAGCCTGGTACTCAAACGAATCAGCCAGCGATTAACAAACATGTTAATATAGACCAAATCTACCAACTAATGAAAAGTAGATCATGTGACAAGAAAGTTTGAAAAATCCGAGTCAATATAAAATGATCAATACAGATGTAAAGATGGTTACCGGGAGACGCGATTCTATCATCATTCATGGAAAGTTGAAATCAGTTCAGTTTATGCTAAAAATTGCGGTGAATGGGGATGTTGTCCATACAGGGGGACGACGAAAGTTCCGCCGCAACTAAGCCAACCAGCTCAGAGAACACTACTAATTGCAGATCGATAATACTAATAATAAATCAATAAATCAAGGGGTTTATAGCATTGTATATAAATTCAGCTAATATAACAGTTGAAAAGATTTATGGGTTTCTTTTTAGGGATTTGTCTGACCTCAGAATGATATCAGTTAGAGAACTATTGAGAAACCAATGACGCAGTCCTGGACAGCCCGATATTTCATCAGCCTAGCTTGGTACTCATTGGTAGTACACACCTAAACCGCCAGAGATCGAACCCAAGGCTAGCGAACTCGTAGATCTTAAGGCTACTGGGACCCGATCTGATGGCCAGCCCATGAATTCTAACTTCTGCCAATTCGTGATTTAAGTGTGACTGTCACCAGCCAGTGTCATGAGTGGCACGAATCTGTCCTCATTTCCAACTACATGGACCCTAGTGGTCACGGTGAGCTCTTACTGACGATGGGTCTCAAATGAGAATGAAACAGTTGTCCAGTACTCCCCGCTGGTTTTCAATGGTTCTTTAATTAGTATCAGTCCGTGATCCAACCTACTGACTGGCTGAAGGACAAATTTGCTTGGAGTGAATTCTGGTGAGAAGTCGTTGCTGGTAAGGTCAACCCGGTTGGGAGGGGTGGGGCAAATCCCAGCCGTTGACACCTGCTGGTGGCATTCGCGCTAAGATCGCGAAGTGGTAGAAGTTTGAATTCATGGACTGGCCATTCAGTTAGGTTCCAGTGGCTGAATGACTTAAGAATTAAAATTTCATCAGGGATTGGTTGATTACAAAGGTACGTCACCTCGAGAAGTCTGACATCATTTAGATAACCATTTTAAATCAGGGAGTACTGGATAGCTGTTTCGTTCTAGTCCTCGACTGTTTAACAGCGAATACATATGACCTTGTCAGAGATTACGTCTCCTACCTTCAGATCACACTGACCATACACATACTGTTCTGGAATTCCATGGCTTTTGATGATATAGCGATAACGTTAGCCAGTGTCATCGGGGAGTATCTGGCCTCATAACAACAACACATGGTGTGCCTTAGAGTTCACATCGAGTCACTAGAACTACATGAGGTCAATTTTGTAGTCAGTCACTTATGAGAGGTGATTTGGAAATGATTCGAAAATAATAATAGTAATAATAATAATAGTGATCTACTCCGGTCACCCAGAAGATAACCACTCGCACACCGAGGGCGTGGCTATCATGATGTCGCCAACGGCAACGAAGGCCCTGATGCAATGGGAGGCGATCTCGCCCAGGATAATAACCGCCAGATTCAACTCCAAAGGAAGGAAAGTGTCAATTATACAATGCTATGCACCGACCAACAACGCAGACCTCGAAAAGAAAGAAGAATTCTACAGACAACTGCAGACAACAATGGACAATACTCCAGCTGGTGACATCAAAATACTAATGGGAGACATGAACGCCAAACTGGGATCAGATAACACAGGAAGGGAACTCATCATGGGTAGAGAAGCTCTCGGAGAAATGAATGAAAACGGAGAACTCTTCGCCGACTTCTGTGCCTTCAATGAACTAGTGATTGGTGGCAGCGTATACAAACACAAGGATATCCACAAGGCTACATGGGTGTCACCAGATGGGCGAACCAAAACCCAAATTGACTTCATCTCAATAGTGCTCAAGGAAGTGGAGGCGCAGCCTGCTGGACACAAAAGTAAGAAGAGGAGCAGACATTGGCTCAGACCACTATCTCGTACAAGGGAAAATCCAAATCAAATTAAAAGCTTTCAGAGAATCAGGGGCTGCAGATAGACCACAAGCCAAGTTCAACACTCAAAAACTGAAGGACCAGGACACAAAGGATATCTTCACTGCAAGTACAAAAGACAAAGCCGAGACACAAATCAACACTGGCGAAGAGGTCAGCGTCGAAAAGCACTGGAACAACCTGAAGACAGTGTGGAGTCAAACCTGCATGGAAGTTCTAGGCAGAAAGAAGAGACAGGACAAACAATGGCTCACTACGGACACTTGGAAACTAATAGAAGAGAGAGGGATGGTGAAACAAAAGATTCTCCAGTGCACCGATGAGCAACAGAAACAGGATTTGAACGCAAGCTACAAGACACTGAACAAAAGAGTAAAGAAGAGTGCCAGAGAAGACAAAAGAAAGTACTATGAAACCATGGCAAGTGAGGCAGAACAAGCTGCAGGCAAAGGAGACCTCGCAACACTCTACCAAACTACTAGGTACCTATCGGGCAAACGTTTGACACAAATCAAGCCGGTGAAGGATGACAATGTAAAGTCACTCACCAAAGAAGTGAAGCAAAGGAAACACTGGCCTGAACACTTCAAAAGACTCCTAAATCGACCACCACCTACAACGCGCCCAGCAATACCAACAACGGAGACAGAGCTACCAGTGAACACCAACCCCCCGACGAAATCAGAAGTCCTGAAGGCTATCGAGATGCTAAAAGCTGAAAAAGCAGCAGGATCAGATGGAATCCCAACAGAAGCATTGAAAATGGACCCAACGACCACAGCGAACTTGATGACGCCACTAGTGGAGAAGGTGTGGAAAGAAGGCAAAGTACACGAGGATTGGAAGAGAGGAAACTTATTCAAACTACCAAAGGAAGGAGACCTAAGTCAATGCAAGAACTGGTGAGGAATTAT